ACCCTTCAGAAGGTGTGTTAATCGTGTTTGCATATATGCCCTGGCACAAGAAATATGCATTAACCCTCCTTTGTCCTGTGGTAGTGGTGAAATATGCTGCAACTATATAATGACAACCATTGTAGTTGGAGACATCTCAAGTATTATAAGTATGGTGTGGTATGTGACGGTAGTCACCATCACTGAGGTGGAAGACAGACACTATGTGTGGGTCTCCAGATTCCTTTTGAGTTTCGGTCACACTGTGCCCATTATTGCCCCCTTTTTCCTGTCAAATTGTTTCCCCAGTAGGGCGTTGTCCCAGGAACACTGCGAGACCAGTTTAAACTAGCTGCCTTGTCCTTCCTCGATCTCCCATCAGTCCTTGCTATTGTCCTACCCCCCCTTCCTTATACTATTGTACTCTATGCACCCTATTGTATGTAAATTAGGATTTTGAAGGCTTAAAATATGTGTGCTATGTCTATTAAAGGGAGTTGCTGTTTTAACCTTCACCAAGTATCATCTGGTGTTTGGGGAAAGGGATATAATCTGCTGATGAAAAGGGTGTCCAGGGCTCTAAACACAGTAGCCTGGTCCAGGGAGGAAAAGGCCCTCAGTGATCCCAGTCAAGCCTCTGCGACTGGGTCTGAAGTGCTCCAGGGTCCCTAATAGCTATGAGGAAGCAGACTTGACAGAAGTACTCGTTTGGAGTATTGAAGTATTGGCTGGCAGCGGTGAGATGGCTTCCTAGCAGCTGGGGAAACGTCCCTAGACACCAGTGCATCTTCTGGGATCCCACTGTGCTTTCTGGAATTCACGGAGATGGATAGAGCAAGCACCCGTGTAGCATCTCCATCCGAGGTGGAGTTCCAGCGGAGGCTACAAGCAGCTCTGTCCCAGTACGATGGCCCTTTCTTAACAAAGGGTGAACTAGACCGGGGGGCCACGATCCGACGGGAACTCTAGACAATGTCCTTAAGGAGGTTTGTGGTCTCCGAGGAGAATCCCTCCCAACCATTATGCAGCAATTTTTGGATCAAGTTAATTTGCAGGTGCAATTCTTGGGAGAGCAGCCCCTGGTGGAATGGGTGTTCAAATCAGAGGAGCTGGTACAGAAAGAATTGTGTCTGGATGATTATTAATGGGCCTTAAGGTTGTATTGAGTCCAGCAATACCCATTTCTTGCGGATGACAACCCTCCTTTGAGGATAAAATTCAATTTGAAAGTCCTGAGAGGTCCCAGCTTTATGACATTTGGGAAAATAGGGAACACCTACTGGATCTCTCAGAAGCAACTGACCTGGAACCTAATTTGACCCACCTGGCCACCATGAAGTTGGACCTTGAACTGAAATACAAGCAATTGTTGGACTCTGCACAGCAGCAGGTACCAGAGACTGTGGATTTATTAGATCTTACAGCTGAGTATGTTGGTCAGGTAGATGTAGAAGGAACCATAATCTCCACACCTAAATCACAGGGATACTGGTCAGTCATCCCAGATCCCCCACCTCCTGGCATGGAAACTCATGGAGCAGAGGTAGAGGTTGTCGGTCTCGCCCCATAGCAGCATATTGAGTTACTGAGAATAGAGGTAGTGGGTCTCTCCCCCCAAGCTGCAGTTTGCATTACAGGGAGAGGAGACAGTCTGTCTCTTTTCCCAGTGGCAATGTGTGACACAGGAAGAGGAGATGGTCAGTCTACCTCCCCAGCAGCAGAGTGTAACCCCAGCAGAAGAGCTGGCATCAGGACAAAGGACCACTGGCCTCTGCCTCCAACTTGCAGCAATGCCAGAATTTGAGAGCAGGGAGGACAGCCTTTTTGTGCCGGTGGAGCTGGCAGAGTACGCCACCGCCCCAGCTGAAGAGTTGGCATCTGGACAGAATGCCACTGGCCTCTGCCCTCAACTTGCAGTGACCACGGAGCTGGAGAGCAGGGAGATCAACCATCTAGTGAAGGTGGAGTTCAAGGAGTGTTGGCATCTGGGCAGAGAGCCACTTGCCTCTGCCCAAACCCACAGGCAACCCACAAGCCTGAGGCATCAGACACAGCTGGCCCCGTGGAAAAGCGGATCCCAGGGCAAAGCACGGCTAACCTCAGCCCTTCTCCACAAGCACTGGGGATCTCTATCCAGTACAGTTGGATGAGATTATGGTCTCTACCTGTAGTCCCCAGGAAGGTTGGACAATGAGCTCCTATCCCCTGGTTAGTCTACGTTTGGGGGGGGAAGTTATGGGATGGTAGGCACCATCACTGGAAGACAGACACTATGTGTGGGTCCCCAGATTCCTTTTGTATTTTGGTCACCCTGTGTCCATTATTGGTGCAGGGTATGTCGAATGTATTGTTTGTCTGTGCCTCTCCACCTCCCCCTTTTTCCTGTCCTATTGTTTCCCCAGCAGGGCGTTGGCCCAGGGACACTGCCAGACCAGTTTAAACAAGCTGCCCTGTCACTCCTCAATCTCCCATCTAAACCCACCCTCCTTATACTATAGTACTCTATGCATTCTATTGTATGTAAATGAAGCTATAAAATAGGTGTGCTATGTCTATTAAAGGGACTTGCTGTTTTAACCATTGCCAAGTGTCGTGTGGTGTTTGGGGAAAGTGTCCCCAAGTCTCCCAGTGTGCTTAGTGTCCCCATGTCTCCCAGTGTCCCCAAATGTCTGCGTCCATGTTTCCCAGTGTCCCCATATCTATGTCCACAAGCGTCCCTATGTCTCCCAGAGTCTCCAAGTGTCTGTCTCCCAACCAGTGTCCCTAATGTCCCTCAGTGTCCCCATGTCTCCCAGTGTCCAGTGTTACATAGTTACATAGCTGAAAAGAGACTTGCGTCCATCAAGTTCAGCCTTCCTCACATTTGTTTTTTGCTGTTGATCCAAAAGAAGGCAAAAAAAACAAAACCAGTTTGAAGCACAATTTTGCAACAAGCTAGCAAAAAAAATTCCTTCTTAACCCCAGAATGGCAGTCAGATTTATCCTTGGATCAAGCAGTTATTACCCTACATTGAAAGATTATATCCTTGAATATTCTGTTTTTGCAAGTATGCCTCTAGTAGCTGTTTGAACATCTGTATGGACTCTGATAAAACCACTTCTTCCACATCCTTATTGTTCTTACAGTAAAAAAACCTTTCCTTTGCCTTAGACAAAATCTTCTTTCTTCCAGTCTAAACACATGACCTCGTCTCCTATGTAAAGTACGGTTTGTGAATAGATTTCCACACGCTGGTTTGTATTGGCCCCGAATATATTTGTATAATGTTATCATATCCCCTCTAAGACAACGTTTTTCTAAACTAAATAGGTTTAAATTTGTTAACCTTTCTTCAAAGCTGATATGTTCCATTCCTTTTATTAATATTGTAGTCCGCCTCTGCACTTTTTCTAGTGCCATAATATCCTTCTTTAGAACAGGTGCCCAAACTCGCACAGCATATTCAATATGTGGTCTTACCAGTGATTTATAAAGAGGCAAAATGATATTCTCATCCCAAGAATGAACGCCCTTTTTCATGCATGACAATACCTTACTGGCCTTAGCCACTGCTGATTGACATTGCACATTGTTGCATAGTTTGTTGTATATAACAATTCCCAAAGTCCTTTTTGTATGTTGTTATCCCTAATTCGCTTCCATAAAATAAACACTATACTCACCCAGACCACTTCAGCTCAATGAAGTGGTCTGGGTGCCAGGTCCCTCAGGTTTTAACCCTTCAAATGCAAACATAGTTTCAGAGAAACTGCTATGTTTACATTTGGGGTTAAGCCAGCCTCTAGTGGCTGTCTTACCACTAGAGGCTGTCTTAACCCCAAGGCGAATCTACGACGCTGGAGGCATATTGCTTTCCTATGGACACTTTGAATGCGCGCACGGCAATTGCCGCGCATGCGGCTCCGCTGATGTCGGACGGGGGAACTGATGTCGGTAGGGAGGAGAAGTCAGGCAGGGAGCCCGGCGCTGGATTAAGGTAAGCTGCTGTAGGGGTTTTAACCCCTTCAGTGCCACGGGAGGGGAACCCTGAGGGTGGGGGCCACCTCAGGGCACTATAGTATCAGGAAAACCGCTTTGTTTTCATGACACTATAGTGATCATTTAAGGGTAAACGTTGCTTGTGTATTCTTTACGACGAAGTGCATAACTTTGCATTTTTCAACATTTTTCAACACTCTGCCATCTGAGTGCCCAGTCCCACAGGCTATATAAATCCCTCTGCAGCAAAGTAATATCTTGCTCACATTGTATTATTTTAGAGTTTTGTGTCATCTGCAAACACTGAAACATGACTTTCAATGCTTTTTTCAAGATCATTTATAAACATGTTAAATAGAAGGGGTCCCAGAACAGAACCCTGAGGGACACCACTTGCCACCTCTGTCCATCTTGAAAATGTACCATTAATGACAACTCTTTGTACTCAATGTTTTACCCAAGAACAAGCATTTTCATCTAGACTGATTTCCTTGAGTTTGAACACAAATGTTCAATCACTAATTAAGTGGAAAATGCAGGGATCTCTTGATACCCTGAAGCCAACGTCAGGTAGACCTAGAAAGATTTCAGCCGCAACTGCCAGAAGAATGGTTTGTGATACAAAGAAAAACCCACAGGTAACTTTAGGAGAAATACAGGCTGTTCTGGAAAAATTAGCTGCATGGTTGAGTGGTCAGAAAAAAGCCTATACTGCACCAATGCCACACAAAAAAACCCGGTTACAATATCCCCAACAACACCTTGACATGCCTCACAGCTTCTAGCACACTGTAATTTGGAGTGACAAGACCAAAATAGAGCTTTATGGTCACAGCCATAAGCGCTATATTTGGAGAGGGGTCAACAAGGCCTATAGTGAAAAAATACCATCCCCACTGTGAAGCATGGTGGTGGCTCACTGATGTTTTTGGGGGGTGTGAGCTCTAAATGCATTGGGAATCTTGTGAAAATTGATGTCAAGATTAATGCAACATGTTATCAGAAAATACTAGCAGACAATTTACATTCTTCTGCATGAAGGCTGTGCATGAGATACTCTTGGACTTTCCAGCATGACAATGACCCCAAGCACAAGGCCAAGTTGACCTTCCAGTAGTTACAGCAGAAAAAGGTGAAGGTTCTGGAGTGGCCATCACAGTCTCCTGACCTTAATAGCATCGAGCCACTCTGGTGAGATCTCAAATGTACGGTTCTTTCAAGATCACCAATGACTTTGCATGACCTGAGGCACTTTGTCAAGACGAATGGGGAGCTACAACACCTGCAAAAATTAAGGGCCTCATAGACAACTATTGCAAAATACAGCACTTGATGCTAAAAGGGGCAATACACAATATTAAGAACTAAGGGTATGCAGCCCTTTGAACAGGGGTAATTTCATTTTTTTCTTTGTTGCAATGTTTTGTTTTATGATTGTGCAGTTCTTTTATAACCTAAAGTTATTATTGCCATTTATATAGCGCCAACAGATTCCGTAGCGTTTTACAATATTTTGAGAGGGGGATGTAACAATAAATAGGACAATTACAAGAAAGTTTACAGGAACAATAGGTTGAATAGGACCCTGCTCAAACGAGCTTACAGACTATAAGTTGAATATGAATCTCATAAATAATAAAATTAATGTGTTTTGCCTGCTCACTCACGTTTTCTTTAAAAATGGTACATATATTACCAATTCTCCAAGGGTATGTAAACCTTTGAGCACAACTATATATATAAATACACACGCACACACCCACACACACAATCAACACAGAGAACAAGTCAAAGTCATGTGTATCTGCACAATTCATTCAAGTGATACAATTATATGTATGCATGCATCATGTTGTTCTATAAAAAAAGTTTGAGTTTGAGATGCTAGCTAATTGTAATAAAGTGGTTTACATTGTAGAATAAAATGCCATCTATAAGATTTGTCAAACCTGATGTTCCCTCTAAATCATCAGCACAATTCACGGTAGACAACGTGGGAGGGTATGTTTTATTTTTTTGGTTAGAACAAACAAAAAAAGGGACTGCGCATGGATATAAGGTCCTGGGCAGGTTTATCTGATTGCATGCAACAATGTTTTGGCTCAGTGAGAGCCTTTATTAAACATGAAAAAAGGCTCTCACAGAGCTGAAACATTGCTGTATCATATCCAATAAACCTGGCCTGGATTTTACACACGTGTGAGATCAGATTAGTTGTTTCTGTAATAAAGGTGCTAAAAACAAATGATTTGCAGTCTGAGTAGACATTCATAGTCACTTTAACATGTATTTTATTAAAAAGTATTTCTCACTTTTTATATATTTATATATAAACATATTTATAGGAAAACAGATGTGAATTTTTTTGTTGCAGATTTATAAAACATGCAACATGTAGCAATAAGGCTCTTAAAGTGTCCATGTCCCCTCAACCATGCCTTTCTCCTTTTGTTTTCTCTCCTATTTAAGAACCTGTTGTACTTTTCTTTATTTCTGATCTATTTCTCTTAAAAACATAACCCAAAGTATCACTTGTTTAAGGCAAGCTCCACCATCTTAACAAAAGAATTGGAGTTTGCCTTATACCATAAGCTCCCCTTCTTTTGTAAAGAATGTCAAAGGTAGGAAAAAAAAAATAATACAAAGTAATCCTTGTGTTGTCTTATGTTTTAAAGAAAAAACTATCATAAATGAACAATGGATTTTAAAAGAGGAGGAGAAAAGGAAACAGGAGAAAGGTAAGTTTAAGGTGAATGAGCCACTTTAAGTGTGCTGTAAGAGAAGCTTCATAGCTTCTTCGTTTTTTTACTTGATGGAGTCAAGACTTTTATTCTAGCATTTAGATCGATAGCATGATGAATACAACCACATCAAAACAAAAAAGTCAACAGAAAGTATGGCATAGAGACATTTTTTTCTATACATGCTCTTAGTCTTTACAATCCGAGATACATGCAGTGCTAACAGAACAATAAAAATTGAAATGTTCAGGATTAAAAATAGTCTTGTGTATGAAGCAGAAATTGATCCTGCTCCATTGTGAAAGGTTGTCAACATGTGAGGGGAAGATCGTCTGTTCAAAAACTCAGTATTGTGCTTTATGTTGGGTTCGTCTACAAAATCCAAAAGATCTTTCATTTCTTCTTCTTCGTTGATTGGAAGTTCATTCTGAGCCCTGGCCATAGCCTTTTGTCGTGTTTGCTTTTCATTCACTTCTATTTGTGCAAATAGTTCTGGAACAGCATTAACAAATTTGTAGTTCTTTGATCCCTTTTTGGTCATTTTTCTCTTCCCTTGCTGCTTGTGCTGTTGAGATATTGCAAATAACTTTTCAATCGCCTCTTCAGTGTTCCTCTTATCTGAAAATCGAAGAAGCCGCTCAGCTATCTTACGAAAACCAGCGGTGTTCCGAACATGAGATAGTATTTGCTTTTCCATTTGCTGGAAAACAGGTTTGAAGTGCTGAAGTTTTTGTTCCACAATCATAGTATAATCTTTTACCTCTGCTGGTGGAAAATTCCTCACAGAAGAACTTTTGTCAAATACAATCTTTTGCCTATCTGCAACTACTTTAGCATATATTGACTGGCTAGGTGTTTCCCCTGTATAGAGATAAACTGCATATGCATGTTCACTGGTTGCAAGGTAAACATCGACTTGCTGATAGTCTCCATTGACACTGAAGCTCTCAACATCAACAGAAGGTCCAATGAACAGGTAGATTGTTCTTGTGACTGGTTTCCTGAGATGGGTTGTGACATTCACATAATTGGTCCCATTGTATGGATAACCATGTGGGTACACTGCTGATGTAATGACTGCTTTTTCACTTAAGCCAGTGTCATCCATCCAGTACATTTTATATATTCCGTTTTTGTGCCTGATTATTGCTCCATGAACACCATCAACTGTTGTCTCCTCAAAAGGCATGTCCACATTGTGGAAAAAGCTAGATGCTGTTTGCACTGAGCTGCTGCCTTCTAAGTGAATATGGTCTACAAGAAGCAAAAGTTGTGGATGAAGTAGAATAAGATTTCTCTGAACACTTTTTAATTTTAAGCCAGAACTGTAGGCACCCACTCCTTCACCCCTGATAAACACCACCCCACTTTTTTCTAAAGCTGCAACAATTTTCCCATGAGAGTCTGCAGCTTCCCCTTGCTTATATTTTAGCCACTTGGAAGTACAATCTTCAGTAACTTGGCCTTCCCATGGAGCAAAGCAGCTCTCGGATACAGATGGTGAAAACATTACAACGTTATTTAAGAAAGTATATTTTGGTCCATATAATGCTTCGGTTATAAAAGGAAACCCATTGGGTGCAAATGTGAAGGAATTCTGATCTGGATGTTCATGACCAGCATTGAAATTCCTCCATCCTTTTATCCAGTCTTTGTACTTGTTGTTGTGAACAATGTCAAATATTGCACGCCCTCCAAGTTTTCCTGATTTAAAGGAAATAAATGGCCTGTTAATCTCAGCTGGCAAGGAACTCCCATAGGTCACTACTCCCCAGTCCTCAAAGAAATGTAATTGAGGAGTTCCAAAATCTGGTGGAGGTGTAGGCTTTAAGGTCGCATCATACCTGGAAAGACAAAACAACATACAAAAGACGAGTTATTTTTAGTGTAAGCTTGGTGTTTGCAAACTTATAAATAACATTCTCATCATGCAAAATATCTGATGTACTAAAGTCTTTACATATAAATAAGAACAGACAGCAACTTTACAGAGCTACCCAATAGCCACTTTTCCTGTCCACTTGTTTGTGCCTCATCTATAGTTGTGAAGTAAACACTGCATGTATCCTCCTCAGAGAATAAGGACTTGTATGATAATACAAATACTTAGTATATAGAAAATTGGGCAGACGAGATAGGCCGAATGGCTCTTCTCTGCCGTCACATTCTATGTTAAACAGGTTCCCTCTTCGCTTGAAATTAAAAAGCATTTAATTGTGTGAAGAATGCAAAAAAACAAATATGAACATTAACTTTAGCCAAATGTTTGTGACTAAGTGGTTACTAAAAAGGAATGGACATACCCCACTTGCAATACCTTGGGTTGTTTACTTTTGCAAATGGTATGCCATCACAGGGGTAATTCTCATTCATAGGCTACCATATAGTCTCAAAGGCAACATTACTAATCTGGCAAATTTCAATGTGAAAAAAACTGAAATGCAAGCCTTATATTTGATGCTCTAACTTTCCAAAACACCATAAAACCTGTACATGAGGGTACTGTTATACTCTGGAGCAGTGGCTGCATTCCCATCCAGCAGCAGTAGGTCCTCTGTTCTTGCGATCCGCGAGAGCATTGCCGTGGGTTGCCATAGCAACCATAGCTGCTGCTGCTGGATGAGAAGCGAGGATGCAGAGTTCTGGGCCCCTCTTCACTGCCCATCCATGCTGTGCCACCGGACCACCAGTCGAGGAGGATGGGACGGGCAGGTAAGTGTCAGCACTTATTCCACAAAACATACACACTGCATCTGCACACACTATGCATACACTATACACACACACACTGTATATACTATACACACTGCACACACACACACTGCATACACTACACACAGACTGCATCCACTATACAAGCGCACACACTGCATCCACAAGCAAACACACACTTATACATGTGTATCTGTATGTTACAGGGTTAAATATAGTGCTAGCAAATTAAATTCTGGGTCATCAGGCACATCCCTCACATTTTAATTACTAAAATTACATAATTATATTAAAACATTACATAAATATAAACATAAATATGAATATACATATATATGTATTTAAATTCTATGTGAATACTTATGTAATCATTTAATTGTGCAAATTTATTTTATTTATAGATAGATTTATATAGAATCTAATTCTAAGAGTATTTTGTTATATATATATATATATATATATATATTATATCTCTCAATATCAAAATACAGTTAGAATGAAAACATGTATATATAATTTAAATATATGTAGAGATATATATATATATATATATATATATATATATATACACACAGGGAGTGCAGAATTATTAGGCAAATGAGTATTTTGACCACATCATCCTCTTTATGCATGTTGTCTTACTCCAAGCTGTATAGGCTCAAAAGCCTACTACCAATTAAGCATATTAGGTGATGTGCATCTCTGTAATGAGAAGGGGTGTGGTCTAATGACATCAACACCCTATATCAGGTGTGCATAATTATTAGGCAACTTCCTTTCCTTTGGCAAAATGGGTCAAAAGAAGGACTTGACAGGCTCAGAAAAGTCAAAAATAGTGAGATATCTTGCAGAGGGATGCAGCACTCTTAAAATTGCAAAGCTTCTGAAGCGTGATCATCGAACAATCAAGCGTTTCATTCAAAATAGTCAACAGGGTCGCAAGAAGCGTGTGGAAAAACCAAGGCGCAAAATAACTGCCCATGAACTGAGAAAAGTCAAGCGTGCAGCTGCCACGATGCCACTTGCCACCAGTTTGGCCATATTTCAGAGCTGCAACATCACTGGAGTGCCCAAAAGCACAAGGTGTGCAATACTCAGAGACATGGCCAAGGTAAGAAAGGCTGAAAGACGACCACCACTGAACAAGACACACAAGCTGAAACGTCAAGACTGGGCCAAGAAATATCTCAAGACTGATTTTTCTAAGGTTTTATGGACTGATGAAATGAGAGTGAGTCTTGATGGGCCAGATGGATGGGCCCGTGGCTGGATTGGTAAAGGGCAGAGAGCTCCAGTCCGACTCAGACGCCAGCAAGGTGGAGGTGGAGTACTGGTTTGGGCTGGTATCATCAAAGATGAGCTTGTGGGGCCTTTTCGGGTTGAGGATGGAGTCAAGCTCAACTCCCAGTCCTACTGCCAGTTCCTGGAAGACACCTTCTTCAAGCAGTGGTACAGGAAGAAGTCTGCATCCTTCAAGAAAAACATGATTTTCATGCAGGACAATGCTCCATCACACGCGTCCAAGTACTCCACAGCGTGGCTGGCAAGAAAGGGTATAAAAGAAGAAAATCTAATGACATGGCCTCCTTGTTCACCTGATCTGAACCCCATTGAGAACCTGTGGTCCATCATCAAATGTGAGATTTACAAGGAGGGAAAACAGTACACCTCTCTGAACAGTGTCTGGGAGGCTGTGGTTGCTGCTGCACGCAATGTTGATGGTGAACAGATCAAAACACTGACAGAATCCATGGATGGCAGGCTTTTGAGTGTCCTTGCAAAGAAAGGTGGCTATATTGGTCACTGATTTGTTTTTGTTTTGTTTTTGAATGTCAGAAATGTATATTTGTGAATGTTGAGATGTTATATTGGTTTCACTGGTAATAATAAATAATTGAAATGGGTATATATTTGTTTTTTGTTAAGTTGCCTAATAATTATGCACAGTAATAGTCACCTGCACACACAGATATCCCCCTAACATAGCTAAAACTAAAAACAAACTAAAAACTACTTCCAAAAATATTCAGCTTTGATATTTGAGTTTTTTGGGTTCATTGAGAACATGGTTGTTGTTCAATAATAAAATTAATCCTCAAAAATACAACTTGCCTAATAATTCTGCACTCCCTGTATATATATATATATATATATATATATATATATATATATATATATATATATATATATATATAAATAAAATATATATAGATGTATTAAAAATATATGTAACTTCATTCTAAGTATTTTAGTACTAATTTATGTAATTATGTTAACATTAAAATTAACTAACTATGATGTTACATACATATATATATATATTTTTTTTTTTTTGTGTAACTTTATTTTTTTTTATTTTTACTTTTTTCACCAGGACGGGGACTGCCTAACAGTCCAGACATTCCCCCTGCAGGCAGATCTGCAAGCAGCTATTGCGGCCAAGTGATTGCTCTTTGAGAGCGATCACATGGCCCCTGGGGGCCTGATTTGCCGTGGGAGGGCTGCCTGGGCTGTCAGCCTGTCCTCCTGAAGTGGAGCACCAGGAAAGTAAGTATCCTGGGCTCAAGGCTCTTACGGCGTTCTTTTAAGCGACTTTAAAGCCCACTTAAAGCGGAACTGCAAAGAACGCCGTAATGGCATTAAGAGGTTAACATTATAGTGTAGTGACCTTGAAATAGAGTGGGCTTTTTATTTTAAAGGAACACTTTAGTCAAGCAACACGATTTTATCTTAAGCTTTAACCCTGTAATGCAAAACAGAAACCGCAGAAATGTGTTTTTACTCAACAAACTTTAGTAATTATAAGTCACAATGGATCAGATGGATAAATAACAAATGGATCCTTTATGAAGGAGAAACAATGTATCCCTTTTAATCCCTATTCGTCAGCTATGAGTTATCATTTTGAGCATATAGCATACTGGTACATCTCCTATTGGAGTCTTGGAATTATAAAGTGTGTATCCTGGGATAATTTAAATGAATAAAAACATATATTACCAAAGAAACTCTGTATGGAGGGTGCACCAACGCTGTCCTTTGGCTGGCGTTCCAGGTCCTTCCTGCACCCTGTTTTTTTGGATCTGTGTGGCCAACCAATTCCCACTTCCGTTCCTCATGACAAATTTGTCCAAAAACACTAACTGGCTCTCTGGCCCATAGAACCAGTTGTAATTGGAATCCGCAATTGCAACAGATCTCTGAAATCCTACAAATAATCACAGATACAACAAATACATTTGTAAATCAAGCAAACTTAGTTAGTGTAGGTATAATGCAGCTATTACATATTATATACTAGGCAGAGGATATCAATGCTGTGCATCTGATGTTCCAGATAAGGCACTGTGATGTGAAGTTATGGAAATACAAGATCAATAATCTGCCTATATTGTTCACAAAGTTAATTTACATCAGGTGACAGAGACACATATGTCTTCAAGGGTTCCTAGCTGCATTTAAGAGACACTTTATAAACTGTTACCACTAATGCCCACTTATGTGGTTTTGGCGCCATCCCCATGGTGCTGTGCAAAATAATTTTGAGCCAATGGTTCCCTGGGTCGTTGTGACCAGGCTCTTGCACAACACATTGCTTTTACATGTATTACTCTTCTGCTTTAGCAGTACCAAGAAATGAAGGTCAATAAATGCGGGCCTAATATGGACTAAATTGGTATTATAGAAACATAGAATGTGACGGCAGATAAGAACCATTCGGCCCATCTAGTCTGCCCAATTTTCTAAATACTTTCATTAGACTCCGTTCCTGCACTTTTTTTACAGCAGGAACACCGTTGAGGTGACTTGATGGCTACCTGATGGACCCCCCCGGCGGGCACCTGTCTCCCGGTCAGACGCGGCGAGGGAGCTGTGTTCGCTCTGCTCCCTCTCGCGCCATTTGCTAATGCAGGGAGCCAGAATATGACATCATATTCCGGCTCCTGGCATCAGTAGACAGCCCGCTCGGCGAGGGGGAGCAGACCTGGGAGAACACAGCTCCTTCACCACACCTGACAGGGAGACAGGCGCCTGCTGCATTGAAGCCCAACTGGACCCCAGGGACATTTTTGAATTTAAAAAAATTATATTTTGTGAGTGTGTGTGTCTGTGAGTGTGTATATGTGTGTCTGTGAGTGTGTGTGTGAGTGTGTGTGTGAGTGTGTTTGTGAGTGTATGTGTGTGTGTGTACATTGAAGTGGACAAAAGCAATCTGTCGTATGGTACATTTACACACAGAACAAAAAAAATGTTTATATAATCATTGGATTTGGTTATATTTATTAAAATAAATTACCAAGAAAATACTGGATAGGATAAGCATGAAAAATATATACAAACATGACATTGCTAATTAAGTCCAGCGTATGAAACAGAGTTATATTACAGAGTAATTTCATTTATTTTCTATAGTTTAGCCTTCATTTCAATCTACAAAAATATTCTCATAGACACTAGAAAAGCTTTTCAGCTACTTTCTAATTTTACCATGGAAGCTACAAATCATGGGGAATTGAAACCTAATTTTTGCATTATGTATATGATGTGTTTTAAGAACAGGAGGAGGAGTCAACTCTAACCTTAAGTGTCCCTTCGCCTCCCCACCTCTATTTTAAATGGTCAAACCATTTTAGAATGGTTTGGTTTCATATCTTGGGTACTTCAGTTTGACATCTTTGAGCATTCAGTTGACAACTTTCAATAGTAGTGGTGGTTGTGGACGAAGTGTTCTAAGTACTCCTGGCAGGATAACCACTACAGTGAGCTAGAGTGGTTAAAATGCTTGGAGAGTTCCTATAATAAAACTTCACTACTCTGCTTTAATGGAAAATGCTGAGCAAATGGACATTTAAAAGTCAGCACAGGAATATGTTAGTTTAGAAATGATTAGCTCTATAACAGACACACAGGAGGTTATTTTACAATAATCATCAACACTTTGATATAAAGCATGCATAGTGTATCTTTTCAGACAACGGCTTCTCTTAGTTTGTAACTGACATTGTATACAATGTTATATGTTTTAGCAGCACTTTCCATTCTAGTAATATAGCCAATTACATAATGAATGTTTTCTGTTAGACAAATGGAAAATATATAGGTGTGACTTGGCAGATTGTAGCATTCACTTTCATCAGCTTAAGGAAACATCTGTGAAAGTGATGGTATTTTTGATTAAACAACAAACAACTCAACATTGTTACTGAACCATTTCTGATTGGCCAGTTCTGATTTTAGGAAAATAATTCAAAAGACAATCATAAAGAATATCTCATAGTTTCAGTATTTAATGCTATAATAATGTTTATCTACAGTGATCAGTCGCAACATTAGAACCACTTGCCAGATATCATCTAGGTTCCCCTTGTGCTGCCAAAACAACTCTGATGGGTCAAGGCATGAACTCTATAATACCTCTGAGAGGGTCCTGTGGTATCTGGCACCAAGACATTAGCAACAGACCCTGTAAATCCCATGAGGTGGGGCCTCTATGGATCAGATTTGTTGTTTCTGTACATCCCACAGATGCTCAATCGGACTGAGATCTGGAAAATTTGGTGGCAACACCTTGAACACTTTGTCATCTTCCTCAAACCGTTCCTGAACTATTTTTTGCAGTGTGGCAGGGTTCATTAGCCTGCTAAAAGAGACCACTTCCATGGGGGAACACCATTGCCATTAAGGTATGTATGTGGTCTGCAACAATCTCTAGGTAGGTGGTACATATCAAAGTTGCATCCATATGAATGCCAGAGCACAATGTTTACTTTGCTGACCTGTCTTTTTTCCCTACAGTGCTGCCATATCTTTCCCACGTAAACGACATATACACACCTGGCCATCTGCTTAATCTAAAAGAAAACAAGGTTCATCAGACCACACACCTTTCCTCCATTGCTTCATGGTCCAGTTCTGACGTGTATGTCCCCATTGACTTTGTACACGGCTCATCATGAGTACTCTGGTAGGCCTTTGGCTATGCAGCAGCATACGCAACCAACTGTGATGCAATGTGTGTTCTGTCACCCGTCTATCATGGACATCATTAAGTTTTTCAGTAATTTGAATTACAATACCTCTTCTGTGTGATTGGACCAGATGGGCTAACCTTCACTTCCCACAATAAGCTTTGGGCACCTATGAGCCTGGCGTCTATTCACCAGCTGTCCTTCCCTGGACCAATTTTCATAAGTACTAGACCCTGCATACTAGGTTTTTAATGTTGTGGCTGATCAGTGTAAGATTACTTAATAATGGCAATATGTGAGGCCACCGGGTGTAGCCATCTTTATTTTCACAGACGTATGATACTAACTATGGAGTTCATAAATAAACACGTATTGTGCAGAAATGGCAAAGTAATTCCCCAAATCACTTAAAGCGTTATTTGCTAAAGTAAGAATTCAAGGCGAATTCAAAGTTAATTTCAAATTTAAGGCCAAATTTTAGCTGACATGAAAGCATAGCTGACAGAATTTTTTCCATTTCAGCTAGACGGACCTTAAACTTGAAATTTAGCTTGAATTTACCTTGACTTTTTAGTGATTAACTCCGTCTTTTAGCTCAGCAATTGTGGCCTAAAACATGCAATTCTCTTGTCATTTCACAGTTTTATTAATAATCCAACCTCTGTGTGTCGACCTCACGTGCACAAACAATTAAACTTCAGCGTTGTAAATAAATACATTTATTTATAATTCTGTAGTGTTGTAATATGTATTCATATTACCAAGAGGGTCACTTTGCTGCCACTCCACATCATATAAAAGCACTGGAAGACAGGGTGCATGCGTAGTAATCACTGCACTGCACTAGCAATGATTCTTATATGAGAAGACTCATAACTGACACATAACTGAGTGAGTGCTCAAAGTGTGTGAGGAAGAGCACCCTCCTACTGTCTGACAGTCAGAAGGATGCAATTGAAAGCTAAAAAAAATAAAAATCTCTTGGAATCTGAACTTTTATAAAGTAAAACAGAAGGGACACTCTGTTTAGCCCTAGAGCAATTATGCATGCTGTAGTGCTTTAGGTTTTGGAGTGTCCCATTGAAGTGTTCTAGGTGCAATGTCCCTGCCCCCCTAGTCCTGCAGTTTAAAATATTGCAGGACTAAGACTGCCTCTAGTGGCTGTATATAGGGAGGGCCTAATTTGCATGCATGGTGCTTGTCGCGCATGCACTTTACCCCCCACCCCCCTGTTGGAGGTGGAGGAGCTTTAGAGTCTGGTAAGTGTTAAAAGGTTGGGGTGTTTTTTTAACTCTTGCGGTGCTTGGGAGGGAGGGGAGGTGGAAAATGCAAACTATATTGTAAAGAATACAACTATGTATTCATTACACTGTAGAATCCCTTTAAGATTTTATTTTTCTTCATATGCAACACCTTACAAGAAATGGAGACATAAAAAGAGTTATTCAACATGCAACAGTTATATTCTACAAAAAAAACTAAAAATGCTACTACCCAACAATCTAGTTTTGTGGGCACCGTTTAATGTCATTTTGTAAAATCTTTTACATCTCAGTGTATGTAATGACAACCACATATTTTACCTGGAAGGACTGTTCTGTACATAAATGCAAAGTGCTCTTTAAGCCAAGGATGGTTAAAGTGATTGATGTCAAAGTGCCTCTGAACAATAAACATGTACTGAAAGAGAGATCTGGTGGTGTAACTGCCATAGGCCACTCCCTCATACAGTGATCCATCAGTTACTTCGTTCAGCAGAACTATGGATTTTTCCATGATAGTCAATACTTGCTTTGTCCAGAAGTAGGCTTCTTGCAGGTACCCTAAGAAAAAGCATATATTTCATAAAAAGGATGACAAGAAAAGGATCATACATTAAAGAAATGAATTCGTTGACCATGACATATGTGTGATGCGACACAGTGTCTTAAATTATATGTAAAAAAAAAAAAAAAAACACTCCTACAAATTTACGTAACTGCTCCTAAACTGTGAATCTGATAAGAAAATATTGTGTAAAAAGATGGAAATCTTTGAACTGCCTGGATTTCAGGGGATTTAATTCTTACCCAAAAATAGCTTAACTTGAAACAAGGCTACATTGAATAATTTTGGGCTAAAATTGCACTTCCCTCTTGAATTTGTTGTTTACTAAATAACACTAAAACAATGAATTGCTTACAGTTAATTTAAGTTTTTTGTTTGTTTTGTTTTTTTAAAGAACAAAGAAACAATGCAGAACATGATATTGAGGGATTGATGGCAGTTTTTACGTATTTTATTGCATGCATATTATCTTCCAAGTGCTATTCACTAAACCAGGAATGGTTGGCACCCTTCCTCATAGATTTTCTGCCATATATAGAGGCACCGTTTTATGAAGAGTAGTGTTTTTACATCATCATTAGAATGGTGCATAATCTCAACCAATTTATTCCATCAAAATATGGCCAGAACTGACGTCCATTAATGCAAAAGTAGTGAACGTTTGCTTTAGCAATATAGTAAGAAGGTGGGGGACTTTGGGTGTCAAACCATTCGAAAACTGCTTAACTATGAACCATGGAATGGTGCCAGGGGACTCCGGGCATTATAACCAATATGGCATGGCATAGTGATTTTGGGGCACAGAGTAGTTTTTTAAAATATCTGTAAAAGAGTATAAACACTTTTAATAACATACAGAAACATTGTGAAAATATTCAACCTCGGGTCACTTGCCCACTTCAAGAACAAAATGTGTAGAGGATTTATCTTAGCAGGTTAGCACACATAAACCAGTAAAAAGATTGCAGATATAGTGGGACTAGCCATCACGATTCTAGTCAAGTTCCTCTATTTCAGTTTTTCTCCATGTCTGCTCTGCTAACTTTGAGTTTAAAAAAGTAAAATTCATATCTCTATCATTTTAATAAGAGCCAAAATAACAAACAGCACGTGGCCTCCAGGATATCGGTTTATGGATATTTGTTAGAATATTGTATTGAATGCACTGAATACCAGCAGACTGTCTTTTCCACATAACTGTATTACAGCATTTTTGCCTACCTTGATTCATCAGCACCAGACTCCCAGTAAGAAGGGCTACACAGTTGGTGGGTTGATGGTTGTGGAGATATTGAAAACCCCATCCTCGCCTATATGAAGTTTCATACATGTATCCTGATGCATTGGCAATGACCTCAAGAAACTTCACCTTTTGGTGTTTGTTAAGATAGTTATATAAAAAGTCATATGCAGTGGCGAAACCAACCAGAGAATGTGCCAAGGGAACTTCATCCCAGGGGGCATCCTTCACTAACCTGTGAAATAAAGGAGAAACACGGGTTATATGAATACAGAGATAATGTATCTCATGACTTTTACCATTTCTAAATACCCTGCCTAATTTTAATCAATTTTCCGGTTTTGTATAGAGAACAAATTTGTACCAAAAAAAAACAAACAAACAAACAAAAAAAAAACCCACACCTTTCAGTCTTTAGAATTCAGTATACCATTTACAGGACTATTCACTACAGTGTTGGTTGTCAAGAAGGTTAAGCGAATTGAGAATCAAACTTTTTAGACCAAAATAGCCAAATTGAAAACATAGCCAAGTTAAAAAAAAAAATTCTTATAGTGCTGAAAAATGTAATTCACTTTTGAATTCTACAATTCAAACTATAATGAATAACCCTGAGGGATGGTACCTAAAGTACATTTTTGAGAGAAATTTTTATCAATTTATCAGGAAATTTAACATTTTAAGCCAGTAGTCAAACTGTGAATATTCTCCAAATTTGCTCTAACTCCAGCTTTAATATTTTGGTTTAAAATTCCTGACGGCTCATAATTTAGTGAATAATAGTGAATAATTGAGAGTTGACAGGAATTGCAGAATGCAGACTAAGCAGGAGTAAAAACCTAGCTGTCATGGGCATTACATTGTAAGCATACTCAAGCTTAAAGAGACACCATAGTCACCAGAACTACTTTAGCTTAATGCAACAGTTTTTGTGTCTAGATCATGCCCCTGCAGTCTCAATGCTCAATTCTCTGCCATTTAGGAGTTAAATCACTTTATTTATGCACCCTAGTCACACCTCCCTGCATGTGACTTGCACAGCCTTCCTAAACACTTCCTGTAAAGAGTCATCTAATGTTTATACTTCCTTTATTGCAAATTCTGTATAATTTAGGATTTCTTATATCTTACAGGACCCTGTAAATGTGATTAAAGTTTTACATTTAGAGCACATAAAAACTTTTAAAGTAAGTTACATGTGACTGAAAGTGAAACCATTTTTTCATGCATGCTGTGTGAGTCACAGCCAGGGGAGGTGTAGCCAGGACTGCATGTACAGAAACAAAATTAATTTAAACTTTTAAATGGCTGTGAATTTAGTAGTGAAACTTCATAGTCATGATCTATAGATCAAAACTGCTTAATTAAGGTCAAGTTGTTTTGGTGACTATAGTGTCCCTTTAATCTTACTTTATGCGGACATGTGTATACATGTTTGTTAAGATTATTTCTATCACTATTTTTTCCACTTAGCTGTTGTTAGAGATCCCAAGAAGACATTCTAAATGAAAAACTTGCCAATCTCAAAATTCGAGTTGAGAATTCTATCAGGGTTATTTACCCGATAGCTCACTTGGAGAATTTTTACACAATATTTACAAAGCTTCAAGTTCAGCTATTTTGGCCTAAAATTTGAAATCCACTTCCAATTCCCAACAATTCTCACTTTAGTTAATAACCCTAGCTAAGGGCTTCAATTTTCAAGTTACTTGCCACTTCAAGCCTAGAGGGTCAATAGTAACCAAGGGTGAATTTCTACTAGGTCATTAAGAGTTACATTTAAAATACAAAATAGATACTCTCTTTTAGCAGGGATAAAAGTGAACACATATTAAAAAAGTGTGTCTATTCCCTTTCACAAATCCATTGCAACTTATGCCCAGAACAGAGCCTGTGGCCAAAATAATAATTATAATCAAGTCTTTTGCTAAAAAAAAATTAAAACCTTTCCTCAACCACTAAATGTTTTCACAGCATAAAAATGAGTATTACTTCACAACTACTACTGTAGAGAAAGATGGTTCACAAAAAATTTACTTAACATATTCTAGCATATTTTATTTAACTCTAAAAATATTGCACAAAATACATCTGGCAATGAAAGAGGAATACAGGGAACTAAAGGGTCACTTTTAGCACCCTAATTGCCTACTTGCAAAGTTGATGGTGCAGTCCAGAGACTATCCAATAATCAATGTTATTTTACAGATCAGTACGATTCATCCTATGTAAAGAGTGGAACTGATCTTTCAAGATACACACATTATCCCATTTACTGCAGCTGACCCCAATGGCCAGAATAAGATGCTGCTGATTGGAGAGTATCTCTACCAGGTAAAGAAAGAAACTGCATGTAGCTCCAGTAGACTCACACAGGGTAATTCACTAAAGACTGAATGGTCCCATACCGTATGGCGCAAAACCATGTGGTGCAGTACGGAGCAATTCAGAAAACAAAAGATGTACTTTGTTCACACTATGTAACAATGTGTGGATTTTGCAGAGGCGGCAACAAACAAGCCTTATATTGGTCCAGATTTTAGTTAGACTGAACACTGCCAAATGGCTGAAATCAGGGCCAGGATTGGTAAAATCTAGGGTTTGAATTGGTTTTAAAAAATCCACGCTATTTGTCCGCTGGCAGAGTTGGCAGCCAGTGGGCAAATAGTTTCAGAAATCCTCCACAACACAAATGTTCACCATGTGGCATTAGGCTAGAGATTGCTAGCCAGCCACACTAAAAAGTATAAAAAAATAAATAATGAAAAAATTAAGCCAGTGGCAGGGAATGGGGAGTGGAGGAGGGGCAATATAACCCCCATATTACTACAAAGAAGATCTTTATCTATCCCATGGGTGGGTATATGTCTACTAAAACTAGCTACTGGGCATTCTTTATCTGGGCATTAGGTGGGGGCTTTAAATAAATAATGGGGGATGGAAGGATCACTGTAACCCCATAGCCTACACAGCAGGTGGGAGTTTCTAATTAAAACACAGGGACCAAATGTCACCCAGGCCTTACCCATGAGCAGTAGGTAGGGACTGTATTTTTTAATGGTAGGGTGGACATGGGCTTTGCGTGGGGGGAGGAGGGGTTATTAAATGTGATACGGGAAGGTGGACAATAGCATGAAGTGCCAATTGCCTTCACCATCAAGTGGCTAGTCACCCCTAGCTAACCCCAATTTAAAAACTGTCCTACTTACTTCCCTCACCATAATAGTAAGGAGCCAATAAATCGAACACGTCAGAAAAAATGTATACTTGGCTTCAGAAGAAGTCTTCTTCAGACCCAAAAAAGGGCAAAAAGTAATTACACCCGGATGCTACTACTGAAAATAAATTGGGGGGAAAAAAAGGGATGAAATTGCTTAAATTAACTAATGGGGAGGGGTGGTGAACAGGTTACTGTTTATAACTTGCCCCCACTGAAGCATGGGAGGTGGAGTGAGGACTAAATTGCCTCTAACCAAGAGCACCAGGTGAGGGCTCACTCTAAAAATAAATTGGGGAGGAGGAGGGCAGAAAATGGTTCCCATCCCTGCCCCCACCCATAGACCATGATTGGGGGCCATTAATTAATAAACAGAGGGACATGCCAGCATCCGCAACCCTTGGGAGGCTTATCGCAACTATTTATTTAACATTCTAGGAGGGCAGGTGGATATACCTTTGTTCATCGTCCTACTCCCTAGGCATGGGCTTTACACCCTGTTCCAAATTATTATGCAAATTATATTTTTCTCATTTACCTAAATAATTGATGTAAATAACAGTCAGCATAATTCTCATGTTATCAACTATTAAGAGTTCAATTCAAATTTTATTGAACAAACCTCCTAATGACGACAGTATTTTTTTTAAACATAAAAAACTTACAATGCATTGTTCCAAATTATTATGCACAGCAAGTTTCAAAACACTTTATAGGTTGTAAAGAACTGAAAATTGTCATTTGTTGTGTTTGCAGCAGATTTACTGAAATCAAAAGCTATTTCAATCAAACTGTTAACTTTTTACATTTTAAAACATTTTAACAGGTCACGTTACATTTTAACATCCATTGAACTTGTGAATTTTTGGACAGTTTCTGCTTGAATTTGTTTGCAAGATGTCAGAATAGCCTCCCAGAGCTGCTGCTTGAATGTAAACTGCCTCCCACCCTCATAGATCTTTTGCTTGAGGATGCTCCAAAGGTTCTCAATAGGATTGAGGTCAGGGGAGGATAGGGGAGGATGGAGGCCACACCATGACTTTCTCTCCTTTTATCTCCATAGCAGCCATTGATGCAGAGGTATTCTTTGCAGCATGAGATGGTGCATGGTCATGCATGAAGATGATTTTTTTACGGAAAGCATAGTTCTTCCTTCTGTACCAGGGAAGAAAGTGGTCAGTCAGAAACTCCACATACTTTGCAGAGGTCATCTTTATACCTTCAGGGACCCTAAAGGGGCCAACCAGCTCTCTTCCCATGATTCCGGCGCAAAACATGACTCCACGTTCCAGCCTTGTTGGAACAGGGTGGCCGTCCACCAACCATCCACTACTCCATCAATCTGGACCACCCAGAGTTGCACGGCACTCATCAGTTAACAGGACTGTTTGAAAAATTAGTCTTCATGTATTTTTCTGCCCAATGCAGCCATTTCTGCTTGTGAGCATTGGTTAGTGCTGGCCGAATACAAGGTTTATGCACAGTTGCAAGACTCTGAAGGACTCTACAACTTTATGTCTGTGCGACTCCAGAGGCACCAGCAGCTTCAAATATCTATTTGCTGCTATGTAATGGTATTTTAGCAGCTGCTCTCTTGATCCGATGCATGGATCTGGCAGAAATCTTCCTCAATGTGCCTGTTTCTGCACGAACCAGTCTATGCTCTGAATCAGCCACAAATCTCTTAATAGTGCGATGATCACGCTTACGTTTTTGTGAAATATCTAATGTTTTCATACCTCGTCCAAGGCATTGAACTCATTCTTTTCGGCAGCAGAGAGATCCTTTTTCTTCCCCATATTGCATGAAAATGGTGCTCTGCTAATAATGTAGAACACCCTCCTTTAGTAGTTTTTCCTTAAATTGGGCTCACCTGGCAATCTAATTATCACAGGTGTCCGAGATTGTTTTCAGTGATCAAAAGAGCCCTGAGACACAATGCCATCCATGAGTTAAACTGAAAAACAAAATATTTAATCTTTGTGACACTTAAATAGAATTTGCATAATAATTTGGAACAGGGTGTAGGTTGGAGAATCTATTAATGACAATGAGGGCTTGGATATATTAGTGTCCACCTCCCTCACCCATAGGCTTTGTCAGGGGGTATAAATAACAATAGGAGGTGGACATACCATTGACCCCCATGTCCAAATATGTAGGCAAATGTCCGCCCTTTGGATTGGCTAAGGGTCCCCAAGTCCTTAGTCAGCCCTCCACAACAGGCCCCTACTTACTACACAGTAAGCTCCTACCAGCCCCTCTTACCCTCATATAAAAATATAACAAATAGCAACAACCGAGATGCAATATAAAATACCAACCCATGAAAAATACCAATCTTCTTTATTATAAATCATATGGCAACAAGGATATGAAGTAGTGATATACTATACAGGAGCAGTCTACACGTTTTTGTATATAATGGGCAGAGTGCACTAGCCCTAGAGAGTGGGAAAAATGGAAAGAATAAAGGGTAGGAATAATGAGGGTGACAGGTAGAAGATCTCGACTAGTAAAGAAAAGCCCCATAAAAGTGTTGAGAAATAAATGGATAATAATAGGTGCAGAAACCTACACGTACTAGGAAATCTCTTACCAGGTGCTGAAATTAATAAAAGTAGAATAATAATAAAGTTGGAGCATAGAATTAACGCTCTAAATACACTGCTCAAAAAAAATAAAGGGAACACTTAAACAACACAATGTAACTCCAAGTCAGTCTGTGGCAAGAAGGTTTGCTGTGTCTGTCAGCTTAGCGTCCAGAGCATGGAGGCGCTACCAGGAGACAGGCCAGTACATCAGGAGACGTGGAGGAGGCCGCAGGAGAGCAACAACCCAGCAGCAGGACCGCTACCTCCGCCTTTGTGCAAGGAGGAACAGGAGGAGCACTGCCTGAGCCCTGCAAAATCACCTCCAGCAGGCCACAAATGTGCATGTGTCTCCTCAAATGGTCAGAAAAAGACTCCATGAGGGTGGTATGAGGGCCAGACGTCGACAGGTGGGGGTTGTACTTACAGCCCAACACCGTGCAGGACGTTTGGCATTTGCCAGAGAACGCCAAGATTGGCAAATTCTCCACTGGCGCCCTGTGCTCTTCACAGATGAAAGCAGGTTCACATTGAGCACATGTGACAGACGTGACAGAGTCTGGAGACGCCATGGAGAACGTTCTGCTGCCTGCAACATCCTCCAGCATGACGGTTTGGCAGTGGGTCAGTAATGGGTGTGGGGTGGCATTTCTTTGGGGGTCTCCTGAGGGATCTCATCCGCCATCTCATCAGGAGCATCATACAGGCACATAGGGAGGCCACACACACTACTGAGCCTCATTTTGACTTGTTTTAAGGACATTACATCAAAGTTGGATCAGCCTGTAGTGTGTTTTTCCACTTTAAGTTTGAGTGTGACTCCAAATCCAGACCTCCATGGGTTGAAAAATTTGATTTCCATTTTTTTATTTTTGTGTGATTTTGTTGTCAGCACATTCAACTATGTAAAGAACAAAGTATTTCAGAAGAATATTTAATTCATTCAGATGTAGGATGTGTTATTTTTGTGTTCCCTTTATTTTTTTGAACGGCGTATAAAGTGTGGTAAAAAACAGTGATCAAAATATAAGAATATATCGGTAATAAGACCCACTAAAACACTGATAAAACAGTAAAATTAGTGTATTTTAACTTTTATTCTCAATAAATGTGAAGGTTTTAACAGAAAGTACTATCAGCTTTTTATCATCATTTCCAGACCATTAAGAATATTGTATTACCATAGACCTGCCAAGGTTGTCTATGAGTAACTGTTCATTTCTGCTGCAATCCGACATACTTGCTTGTACTGATTCATACCATTATTGGTTATATCGTATTTACCACTTGACATATAATTGCTGCGGTCAGATTTACTTGGCAGTAACACACTGTGATGGCTGTGATATTGGTACCAACTTCCCCTGCACTATAAGAACTTTGATATCCAGAGACTGTCGATTGGATTTTTTTGCATTGTACTATTACGGTTTCCTACTGGTTTTTGGACTTATATACATATATATCAGAAGTTTTCACTAAATGTCAACACATTTGTATTTGCTTTCAAAGGACATATTTTTATTTGATTTCTAAGGATAATTTTTGCTGATAACGCATTGTTTAGTTTATTATCCCCCCTAGGAGGATTTTTATGATACAAGGCTGCCACCTAGTGAGAACACATATCTATTTATATTACGCATGCTGCTACAAGCACTCTAAGTTTCTTGTACTTCCATATGTGCATTTTACTGTTTTATCTGATTTTTAGTGGTTCTTATTACCCATATATTTTGATGTTTTTTACCACATTTTATATTTAGAACGCTAATTCTATGCTCCAACTTTATTATTCTACTTTTATTAGTTTCAGCACCTGGTAAGAGATTTGCTAGTACGTGTAGGTTTCTGCACCTACTATTATCCATTTACATGTTTTTGTACCCTTGTACTTTAACCAAAATCAGTTGAGATATCAAACTCAAGGGATCCGTGCCGTCAAAGCTCAGTCAGAGAGCTCTCATTGAATGGCTTGTACGTGCCCAATATTTCTTTGTTGGCATCTATTTAATCTCTTCAAAGTTATAAATGGCTTATAGGGTGCTGATAAACTCTTGATAAAGATGATTGGCTCCAATTAAATGGAGGCCTTCGTAGGGGTTAAAATGTTTTTGTACTTACAGCAGACTTCATGTATGTTATTAGTCTAACAGAGTTATTCACTAAAGTGAGCACATAAAGTGAATTTTAAATTTAAGGTCAAAACTGGTGAGATCTTGCATGGAGCACCAGACCGCTAAATCTATGCTTTCAGTTTGACTACTCTAGCCTTAATTTTCAAATTCATTTTGAATTCTCACCGTAGTAAATGCCTAACAAGGGAATATAGGAACACAGTGACATCCCTCCGTTCCAATGCAGACAACGAAGCCAGCGTGCTAACATCACTGACTCGATTTGCCATGCTTGGAGATGTGTCCAAGCAGGACAAATAAGACTTCAGGAGTAGTGCAGGCAAAGCGGATTACAACCAGGAGGTTGATGTTACAGAGTAACATTCACGAAATGGCGCTGGGACAGAGGAAAAGTGAGTAAATCTTTGTATTTTACATTAAATGCTCCATGCATCTTTGTGATATATCTATTCAATGTAAATTGGACAGATTTCAGTCAAGTTAATTATTTCATAAGAGGTTCACTTTAAGCAACTGTTAACAGCAAAGAACTGCCATGCACACAAATACAATTAGTAAATCTTTTTAACCTCTTAAGGACGGTGGGCGTACTATGCACTCCTTGAAAGGGTGGACCTAAACGTCAGAGGGCGACATATTACGCCCAGCCGTCGTCTTGCCGCCTTACACTCACCAGGACCGGTGATCTGCAGCGATCCTGGTCAGGGGGGACCTGCTTGAGAGCCCAGCAGTCCCCCTGGACGGAAAGCCTGCCACCCTGACTGGGTGCCTCTGTCGAATGATGCTTCTAGTGCTCGCTAAGGACCATCAGCACCGCACGTGACACCATAACCACCGCCAACCGCACGAACCACCGCAGCTTGGTCTGGGGTTTCGCCGTCCTCCACCCACCCTGGACTCAAGACCGAGCTCCAGCTTCCAGTGGGTGAACCTCTCCTAAATCCAGGGAGCAGGAACCAGGAACAAGAACAGCTCTTACAAGAGCTAGTGATGATACTCTGTGGAGTATAGTGATCATAGCAATCCCCAGAGTGTAGGTCTCCAATCCCCTAAACATGAGCCAAGACTTCATGAAGGGGTAAGCAGGTCTGTTTAATGGAAGCAAGCACTCACAATTTATAGAATTCCTCAGGCCAGCGGCACACCCCCTGGACCTGATGGTATACAGGCACACAAAGGACACAAACCAATCAAAACAATACAACGTCTTACACTCCCACATACACCGTAAAATCCCTCCCTTCTATCCTGGAGATGATTGGCTTAAGAAACTGTAGTAAACTCAATTATCTCCTGTACATAACATATTCCATAGAACCGAACCCCCACATTTAACCTATCCCCAGATAGCTCAGATCTGAGCGCTCAATATATCCGAACAGCGCTCAGATCCCACGAACATAGTCAAATTGCCATGGGGTTAAAGTCGTTTTGTGGAAGTCTCTTTTGACCGACCGCATGCATGATTTCATGCCCAAAACAATTCCAGAGAATTTGGCTGTGCGGCCGGTCTATTTCCAATGTTAAATGCAGTTCAAATAGACAAACGACAACCGTTCGTGCAAACCGTCAATGAAGACAAAGCCTAACTGAACAATAATTAAGGGCAGGGGAGAAAATATCGGTTTAACTTTATAAATTATTAAACATTGAAAATGGCACAGCAGAGTGCCCCGATGCTTCCACCAATAAACTTTGTAACGTTGTCTAAGTGATAACTGGGTTTTTGTTTACAATACACCGTCTCTTACATGGAAAGTTAAGCAAAGCAGCGATGGACACTTAACTCAGTCTGACTAATTGAATTTGCCATGCCACTAGAGAAATTAAGTGTTATTTTAGGAGGTCTATTTGAGGGATCAGCCTTGCATAAATGTCCTTAACATCTTGAAAGAAACAAAAGTATAGTGACAGGAAAATAACCTTCCCAGAAGATTAATCTAAAGGATTCATGTCCATCTGCAGACAATACATTTGATCTCTGCAATTATGAGAACATCTATTTTTTATAATAACTTCCCTCAATCTTTGGAAACTTTTCCCTTTGAAAGTTATCTTGTACTTAAATCAGCTAGTAAAACCTGCCTAATTAAATAACTGTACAGCTCTAAATTGTGTTCTTTATTCTTTCCTTTTAGGCTTCCTTATATCATTATAGTGCATACCGTCAAATATATTTACATATAGTATGGATAACAACAGATAGAAGTATTGCAGGGCAGTCTGTTGATGACCACACACATTTATTTCTGACTGTTGACTATCATTATTAATAGTAAACTATATGAGCCACAAACTGCGTCCCTTTACATTACTAAATGACATCATATTAAAAAGAATTCTCAGTTCTGTGTAACACTGATTTCAAAATGTGGGTCATCAACTTTAGGTGACTCAATTCTAGTGAACTGGAAGTGGTTACCATGACCCAGCCTAGTACACATTTACAAGTGGCAAACGTATGTTATGTATGAGAGAAATGGCTTTTATTCTTTCCCATGCATTTTCCAAAGAAGATACTCCCATAATTTTTTCATAGAAGGTTAAACGGGCTACATATGTATCTTTACAAGAAACTGCTTTATAATGTAATACTTTTGTGAGGAAGGCATGTTTACATTGCAGCGCTAACACAGCCTCCAATTGATGTCATATTCCAGCGCCCGGCTTCACTGCAGACGGCGCGCGAGGGAGCAGTGAGGAGCAGGAACACTGAGCTCCCTCGCTGGCCCTCCTCCCCAGCCAGGTAAGTGTTAGCAGAGTAGGAAATATGTGGAAAGCAGGTGCCTACTTTGCTATAACACCAGCATGTACTCGGGGCTCGCCGGGCCGCAAAGACGGTCCTTGTGGGCAGCATGCGGCCCGCGGGCTTGACATGCTCGCTCTACACAAATATGAGTGTTTTAGAGCAGTAAAATGTATTATACTGATAATATCATCGGTAAAATGGCAGTATATAAATTGTGAAAAATGCAAAAAATACAAATATAAACACTAATTTTGGCCAGGGTTTGTTACGGAGTGGCGACTAAAAAAAGATTGGACATACCCAATTTTAAATACCATGGGTTTTCTACTTTTACAAATGGTATTCCTGGGCTGCCATATGGTCTCAAAGGCAACATAGGCCCAGCAAACCAAATCGGGCAGATTTCAATGTGCAAACCTGGAAAAGGGGAAAGCCCTACATTTGACCCCTGTAAGTTTTCAAAAACCCATAAAACCGGTGGTAGGTACTGTTGTACTCGTGAGACATTTCTGAATACAAATGTGTATTTTATTTCAGTAAAATCCAACAGTATTATGACAACAGTTAAAATGTCATGCATTACTTGAAAAATAAAATTTCTCATACTTTTTAAGATTGTATTCATATTAAATTATGTTTCATATATAAAAATATTTGATATGAAATGAAAGCCCGGTTTCTCCTCAACATAATGATATATAATAAGTGTGGGTGCACTTAATATGAAAGAGGCTACGGTTGAACAGAAATATAGCACAAATTCCAGATTTTTGTTTTGATCACAATTTGTACAATTGGCTCAGTCCTTAAGGGGTTAAAGTTTGACATCATCATCAAGATAACTGTTGAAGAGTCAAGATAAACAAAATGGAAGTAAAAAAAAAAAAAACAAAAAAAAAAACCACACAACAAAGAAAAAGCTTCTCAAAAAAAGCAAAACAGGAAAAAAATAATGAGCAACTAAACCAAACACGAATAAAAATTGGCATGCTTTGACTCTGGAAAGTATGCTTTCATAGATTCATTGATGTCATGTTTTGACTATTAAAATTTTAACATGCGTAACATTTCCATATTAAATCTCCAAAATAACTGCAATCAGTAATTATCTAGAAGATGTGGATTTTAGTCCATTTGAACGTCATCCCACTCATCTGTGCAAACTAAAAATAAAAAAGAATTGTACAAAAGTAGACATTTGCTTAAAATTAAAACCCCCTTAAATATAGTACCATAATGAACACACGTTTTACCAACAGGAAAAATGTAGACAGTCATTGAACCCACATAGTTTTGCATGTACATGTAAAATTAGAAGAAAAGTTGTTTTACTTTTAATTTTACTATAGTGCTCCTCTTGCCTTTCTGTTATGTCATCCCAGCTTAAACTAGTATCCAATGTAATCAGAGCCAGATTATGATCACCCACGGTTGCCTGAATGGTGCCAAGATCCTTGTTCTTTTCAAATAATTTTTATTAAAGTTTTTTTTTTTGTATAACAAATAATAATAATAATAATAATACAAACCAAGATCCCTGTTCTATGTGTTGCTTCTGTGGCTGGCTGACTGTGGCTGTGTGTCATGGCTAAGCAAGGCCGGCGCTTCCATAAGGCAGCACAAGCGGCCGCCTTAGGGCAATCCGGCCCGGGGGGAGCTAGATTAGAGTGGCCGGCAGGAGGTGGGTGCACAGCGCTCCCTCCTGCCAGGCACTCAGTTTAGCATGGCTGAGCGGAGCAGTGCTCACCGCGGTACAGGAACTTCTGATTCCTGTACCCGGTCGGACTGGAAGAAAGTGCTCACTGTCAGTCCGGCCGGGTACACGAAACACAACGGGGACCAAACGGGGGAGAGAGCGGCACTAAGGGACGGATGGAAGGAACACTATGGGACGGGGGGGTCGGAAAAAAGACTATGGGACAGGGGAGGGAGAGAAGAACAACACTATGGGGGAGGAGGAGAAAGAACACTATGGGACAGGGGAGGGGAGGGAGAACACTATGGAGGAGGGGGAAAACACTATAGGGGAGGTGGGGAAAACCATTAAAAAAAGAGACAGGTAAGGAGGGGAGAGGAAGACTAAGGGACAGGGAAGAGAGGGGAGAGGAAGACTAAGTGACAAGTGGGGAGGAGAAAGTAACTCTAAAGGACAGGGAAGAGAGGGGAGAGGCACTAAGGAACGGGGGGAGGAACAATAAAGGACAGGGAAAGGAGGGGAAAGGAATACTGAGGGATATGGAGGGAGAGGAACACTAAGGGATAGGGAAGAGGACCACTAAAAGGACAGGAAGGGGAGGAGAGAGGAACACTAAGGGACATGGAGGGGAGAGTGGCACACAGGGGGTCCTGAGTAGGGATAAAGACACATAGATGGGCCTGGGGGTGAGAAGATTCACAGGGGGGCTGGGGATGAATGCGACACAAAGTAGGGCCTGGGGGTGGAAATACAAAAGGGCTGGGGGTGAAAGAGACACAAAGGAGCTAGTAAGAGTAAAAGACACAAAGGGCCTGGGTGAGAAGGAGACACACAAAGGGCTGGGGGGAGTAAGACACACAAAGGGGGTTGTAAGAGATACACAAGGGAAGTATAAGACACACAATGGGGAAAAATAGGGGATATGATAAACTAAAGGGGGTAAGACGTTTAAAAAAGGGGATAACAAACAAAAGGCGGGTTAAGAGGCATGCGGATGAAGATGCTTTTAAAAGGGGGGGGGGAGGGGGCAAAATCATCTTCGCCTGTGTACCAAAAAATCCTTGCACTGACCCTGTGGCTAAGTGTGTGTGGTGGGCAAAAAATGACTCCCCCCTTCTGCATACCTTTTGGCAAGAGAGGGTACAATCAATAGTGGCTCAGAGGAGGGAACTCTTGGTGGCAGAATTCATGGAGGTCCATTAAGAGAGTCTCTAGTCTACACCTCTGCTGGAGCTCAAACTCTGCCCTGGAGCAGTGGAGCTGGGGGGTGCACAGGACAAATAAACCTCTACTGGCAATGTAAAGAAACACCAGTAATTGATTTAAATAAATAAAATAGTAGTATCCCCCACTTCTACACTGCTACTTTGTTGGCCTGATAAGGTGACTAACACATGTTTGTACACACATCTGTGTGCAATTATATACACAAACTACAACAAGTCAGCTAGGTTTCCAGCTAGGCTATCTTGGCCTTAAATAATCAATTCTATGGTGAATTCTCTACAATGTAGAAAAAAAAAAAAAGACTTGATACTACAGGCATAAATATACACCTGTAACTATTATTTACAAACAGGTGTCCATGCGATTTTATGGATTGTAGCAGGTACAACATTATCAGGCTCCAGGGAGCTGCAAACAAGGAATATACTCATTATTTATCAGCATTGCCTTCACCAATGCAATGGAAATTTAAAAATGAGAGTGTTGTGTGAAATTGTATTACACATTACCATTAAAGAATTGGCCATGGAGCTATTTTTAATCTGAAGAATTAGTTGTCAAGTGAATGCCTTATACACATTCCACCTAACTGTCCTGGGGTTGCTGGGACAGTCCTGAATTCAGGATCTTGTTTATTCATCTAGGGTTTGCTCTTTTCCAGTCTGTGCCAGTAAATTGACCAATAAGAAGGTTCTCATCAAGCAGCCTCTGCAGTCTAGACCGATATCACAGCTCATTGAGAAGTATTGGTAGTCTTGTGAAAGGGATCTGTATGGAGGAGGCGACAAAAAAGGCACTATGGGCAAGCACTATTGCCAAATTCTTTAGTTCAGTGGAGCTTAATAGTCAAATTCAGAAGGTCTTTCATTTTGTTCTCTTTTGCCAGGTTGCAGGGAGCAGCTCAATTATGAATTCCTGGGCCATTCGTCATCTTTCTTAGAATTGTAGCTGCCTGAAGTTGTATTAGGAAACATGACACCTGTGGTTTGCCTTATCTAGAAAGACCACACAGTTTAAGCCCTGCCTATAACACACTCCACATCTTTTTTGTAACCTTTTCAGTAATTTAGAGTTCTGGGATGTTGTCATTTTTGTCAGTATCATTAGCAATCACTTGCAATTAACAGACAGACAAAGTACTAACCAATGGTTAGAGATTTTCTATTTAGAGGACACCCATATAGCCAGTCTGCAGACTAATGGCCTGGGCATTTAAGCAGGGGCTCATAAAGTGCCATACAAATATTAAAAACAAATTAGAACATGACACCACATAACAAAATGAATGATTTCTCTCTTGACTTATAGTATTTATGTTAAATAAAAAAGGGAAAAAAGACCCAAAAAGCAAAAATCACATATATACATAAACTATCTGGATTTAGATAGAAAGGTCTACGCTTTAAGCACTTCTTAACATTTACTGAGATAAATGGCGGTCTGATGTTGAGATACGAGAGACACGTAGATACACGTTTTATGAAAATACAAAATGCAAATTTGTCTAGATGAGTAAAACTTTGTTAAATAAAGGAGTGTTAAAATTTAAATGTGTTGGCTAATTGCCATGACTTGACAGACTAAGCATTCTGTACAGATAGTACAGCAGTAGTAAGCCATGTGAATTGTATTATTCTCCTGCTTTTAAAAAGTGTACTATAGTCTTGGCTTCTCTGAAGGAGATTTAAAAATAAGCCTTGAAACAAAATTAAAGCAAAATTGTCATTTCTTTGACATGCAATTGAAGTGCTTAATGTGGTGAGGTGTGCAGCCAAGAAAAGATCAAATGAAAAACAAATACACCTTCAGATCTCCCATTATCAGGGTGATGCCATCATCCTAGGATTTAGATAGACTGTGTACTCATGTACCTGCAGAGAACACAAGTGTGTTGGTGGTTGAGGTACCTTTCATAAACTAGTGCATACCATATCATTAGTTGGCACATGCTATAGGAGCATTCAAAATTCTATTTTTCTTTTTACTATCATTATTTAACATGTACAATGAACACAATATCATCTTAGAAGTCCCAGAGATTTCAGCTAAGCATGTCGGTATTGAGCGTTTAGTGGTTTCTGAATTATTTGTTATTTTGTATTTTTAAACGCACTTGTATTTTGGGTACCTGCCTTACGTTCTTTTTTTCTATAGCTTCTCTTTAAAAACGGTTTGTAAATGAAAACAAATCTACATGACCGTTATTTCAACCTTTCTCTATTTATTTTGCACGGTTTGGGCTTTTTTATTTTACGCTTTGGATAATTTAAAAAATTGTTGTGTTTTCACTAGATCTTTAAAATTGGTAAAAGATCACTTTACAAACTTGTTTTCTAATCTGTTATGTGTATAAATATATATATACACACATATACACACACACACACACACACACACAATATATATTTATATAATGCTCTCATACATCTTTTAAAACAGAGTTGAGAGTTAAACCATTAATAGCAATGCAGATATTTTTCTCCAGGGGGATTATGATCAAATCACATATGACATGACATCTATTTGTTCTGCTTGTAGTCCTTACTAAACATTTATGGTTTCTTAGAAACAAATGGGATATTGGAGGAAAACTGGGGAGTGGTGACAATATGGAAGAAATACGAATGAAATAATGCCACAACTTATCCAAATATGACAGATTGTTCGGGACGGATTCTGGAAAGAAAACCAAACTACAAGTCACAGGAAAAAAATTAAAAATTAAAATTTATAAAAAGAGTTTACAAAATATGAAATGGTCACTACCAGTAGAAAATAAATGTTATTTACTAAAACGAGGCAAGTTCATATATTATACCTCTCAATAGTCCCAGATCCTATACGTTCCATAGAATTATGATGCAAAAAGTACTTTAAACCAGAAAGCAACCAGACAAAATTTAATATCTAGGGGGATAATCCTGATTTTCTCACTTCCCTCCTATGCAGACTGCTAGATGGTAAAGCATATAGAGAAGAAAGGAAGCGAGACAATCTGTGTTATGACGAAATACCAAAATTTATATTTTTCGAATAACCTTAAATGGTGCCCATTTACGGGATATAAATGAATTGATTTCTACATATAATTTTGTTTTTCTTTTTAAACATTCTTTATTTGTTGTTTTCCGGTGTGGAAAAAGGAAACATTAGGGTACAGAATTGAAGGAGGGAGGGGGTGATACAGCCACAATTGTACAGGTGCACAGTAATTTCACACGTGTGTCTTTGCGTCTCAAGGTGTTGTGAACAAGTAACTGTGTCTTGGTGCGGTCTGTTGGTTAGGCGTTTAACGTGCAGTAGTGTGGGGTTCAGGGACCTCTGTCTTGGTCTTATTCCCTTTGCCCGGTTCGTTTGGACAAACCTGTGTTGGTGGCCGTATGAGGTTTGCGATTTGTCTCGTTAACAGTTTTGTGGTAGGGTATATAATTTTGTTTTTCAAACCACAGAAATATACTTTTTTATTTAAGGGATTTAAAAAAAAAAAAAACAAAAAAAAAAACATAAACCTAAAAAAATTATGGGAAGTGATAGCCTTCATTTTGCTTCTCTAAATACTACTTTTTATGAACATAAATGCATTTGTTTAGGATTACACCCTTTTAAAAAAAAAAAAAAAGGCTTGCATTTATTCATTATACTCTCCATTCGTCATTCTGCCTGTTTGTTATCACTGCACTCAGATATCAAGATAATTTACAGTAAAGGAAATAAAATACATAATAAGAATATTTCAAGTACTTTCACAGTTAATCGCCTTTCCAGGTCATTAAGATTTCATTTTAAAGGAGGTGTTGGCTGTAAAAACATGTATGCCAGCTGTGAGTGGTGGTAAAGGTCAATTTATCTCACATCAGGCAGTGCTTATTAAAGCGCTCATCACAGCAGCAGCTGTAGTCGCGGTCATTCTCAAGATAGTATAACCAGCACTAAGTACAGGGTATTTGTTAGGTCAAAGCTAGCCAAAAAAGGAGGTAACTGTGAATCAGGGATTAGAAAATGGAGTTCTACTTTATCCCAGGATTACAAATACATTGATTGTTCTACAGATTACTAGTTGGCAGATTGCCGCAGAATTAACGGTTGTTCGTAACAAATTATTTTTGAAGCAATAACGTTTTCAAATTAAAGATCAATTCTCAATATAAAACCAGATGGACAGACAGCAGGGATGGTAACCTAACTGCAATTAAGTGACCCATTTTTTATTACCGGACTTGTTTTTAGCTTTTATAATATGTGTGTTTTTTTACTTTTATATTCCTAATGCAGAAGTAAAACGCATGGCAGAAAGTACCCAATCATTGAGATGAGGTATGGTTGGTTTATTGTGGATAGATATTTTTAGTTTTGATTGGGGGCTATAGGCTATATAGATGCATTGTAGAATATTGGTTCTACTGTGTAATGTCTAAATGTATTATTAAGTGTACATATTATTTATAGTATGTTCTATTAATCACTACTCTGTTTGTTTTATTGTCTGTGTTGACTCTGAATCTAGGGACAGTATGTGGACTAGTGAAGCTATTTTAGCCGAACATATAAAATTGGCATCAGTTTGTGATAAATAACCTGATGCACATAAAATGTTTATGGTAATTTATACCTATAAAGGTTTGTTTACAAAATAATGAACTGTAACTAACTGAATCTGAATTCCCAAATTTAAACCAATATAGATGACTTGCAAAATTCCTCCAATTCAGCTGTTTCCAAGTCCGATATTTTGGCCTGGATTTTGCAATTCAGTTATGTATATTGTGCAAGCCTAATGCATCACTTTGCCATGTGCTTGTTCTGGCAACAGAATTGTGGATAGTACAACTGCAGTGCTGAACTCAATCTGAAGAAAGTGCCAGGATATGTCGTGATTGGTGGGAGTTGCGCTCCAGGTATTAAGCTCCCTTAGTTACATGCAGGAAGAGGCATGTAAAGAGAAAAGAACACTGCCCCTGTAGCTCCTTAAACAGATTTGTAATAAGAGGGATTTAATTAGGTATATCAGCTGCAAAGAGCAGTTGATAATGTGACTAACTCCCAACAATCTCAGGCAGCTAGACCATTTAAAGGGACACTATAGTCACCAGAACAACTACTGCTTACGGAATTTGTCCTGGTGAGTGATTCAATTCATCTCTATGAGGAGATGCTGACTGGCCAGGGCTGTGTTTTGTGCTGGCTCTGCCCCTGATCTGCCTCTTTGTCAGTCTCAGCCAATCCTATGGGGAAGCATTGTGATTGGATTAGGATACCACTTCTGAAGATGTCAGCAGGCAGTGGGTAGGTCTAAAGGAAACAGGGACAAAGTAAGCACCTGCAGACTTGAATACAAGTGAGATTTTACTAGATTTAGGGAGGCATGAGGGGGCAGGGGGGCTAGATGGTAGTTTTAACCCTATAGGATCAGGAATACATGTTTGTGTTCCTGACCCTATAGTGCTCCTTTAAGTATTGCTGCTGATCTAAGATGTAGAAAAAACCTAGACATAACCCATTTGTTTAATAAAATCATGCAATATCAAAGATGTACAGTGCCTTGCAAAAGTATTCACCCCCTTGGCATTTTTCTTGAGTATGCTCTCGCGAGATCTGAGCGTTGTCGTGGTAACGCTCAGAATCCCGTGAGAGGACCCGGCGGAGCTGCTGGTTAGAGCTCCGCCGGTCCTCTCCTGCCTCCCTCACTCCCCAGCCTGCGGCCTCCTGTAACATTGCCTCTGGGTCGGTGAGGGAGATCTTTGATCTCCCCACCGGCCCATGGAGGCACACAGCAGGGCTGGCGCTCGGATAGCACTGGCCCTGCAGGGGCTGGCAGGGGAGATTCTGTGATCTCCCCTGCCGGCCTCGGCCCACGGCCATCGTGGCCCACCGGGCATTTGCCCGGTATACCCGATGGCCAGTCCGGGCCTGATGTGATGTGTTGGGTTGGGTTTGCACCAGACATAGCATTTTCTTTGATGGCCTAAAAGTTAAAGGGACACTCCAGGCACCCAGACCACTTCTGCCCATTGGAGTGGTCTGGGTGCCAACTCCCACTACCCTTAACCCTGCAAGTGTAATTATTGCAGTTTTTTTATAAACTGCAATAATTACCTTGCAGGGTTAACTCCTCCTCTGGTGGCTGTCTACTAGACAGCCACTAGAGGGCACTTCCATGTCTAGAGCGTCGCTGAACATCCTCACGCTGTGTGAGGACCTCCAGCGTCACTCAATTCCCCATAGGAAAGCAATGCTTTCCTATGGAGAGCTCTAATGCGCATTAGGTCTCCTCAGCCGGCGGGCGGGATCAGTCTCGCCCAACGGCTGACTTAAGGAAGAGGAGGAGGAGTGGCAGCGAGTAGAAACTACCGAGGGACATCGGCGGGGGTCTCAGGTAAGTGACTGAAGGAGTTTTCACCCCTTCAGCAACTGGGGATGGGAGGGAGAGGGGACCTGCAGTGCCAGGAAAACAGACTGTTTTCCTGGCACTGGAGTGTCCCTTTAAATTTTAGTCTTATCAGACCAGAGCACCTACCTCCATACATTTTGGGAGTCTCCCACATGCCTTTTCGCAAACTCAAAACATGCCATTTTGTTTTTTTGCTGAAAGTAATGGCTTTCATCTGGCCACTCTGCCATAATGCCCAACTCTATGGAGCGTGTGTACAGATATTCCAGTCTCTGCTGTGGAACTCTGCAGCTCCTCCAGGGTTACCTTAGGTCTCTGTGCTGCTTCTCTGATTAATGCCCTCCTTGCCCAGTCCGTGAGTTTTGGTGGGCGGCTGTCTCTTTTCAGGTTTGCGGTTGTACCAATGTTCTTTCCATTTGGTTATGATAGATTTGATGGTGCTCCTGGAGATCATCAAAAGATTTGGATATTTTTTTTTTATAGCCTATCCCTGAGATGTACTTCTCAACAACATTGTCCCTTGCTTGTTTAGAGAGTTCCTTGGTCTTCATGGCAGTGTTTGGTTAGTGGTGCCTCTTGCTCAGTGGTGTATCCTGGTTTTGTGCTGCCCTAGGCAGGACAAAACTCAGAAACAAACACACACAGACACAAACACACACAGTCAGACACACACTCACATTAACACTTTTTTTATTTAACCCCCCCCCCCAGCCTCCTTACCTTTGGGAGTGCTGGGGGGGGAGGGGAGGGGTTCATTATCTCCCTGGGGGTCCAGTGGTTGCCAGGCTGGGCGGGCGGGCAGGCAGGCAGGCGGGCGGCGAGTTCCCTCGCGCGCCGCAGTGTGAAGCTGGGAGCTGGAATATGACGTCATATTCCGGCTCCCAGCCTCACTCTGCGTCGAGGGAGGGAGCTGAGCAGACCGCTCAGAGGAAGAGCTCCCTCGCCAGCCGCCCGCCAGCACCCAACATGTCAGTTAGCCGCAAGGCATTTGCCGCCCCTTGAAAAATGCTGCCCAAGGCAAATGCCTTGTTTGCCTCGCGGCTAATACGTCCCTGCTCTTGCTTAGGTGTTGCAGCCTCTGGGGCCTTTCAAAAAAGGTGTGTATATGTAATGACAGATCATGTGACACTTAGATTGCACACAGGTGGACATCATTTCACTAATTATGTGACTTCTGAAAGTAATTGGTTGCACCAGAGCTTTTTATGGACTTCATAAAGGGGGTGAATACACACGCACATACCAATTTTATGTTTTCTATTTCTAAAAAATAGTTTTACGTATATATTTTTTTCTCATTTCACTTCACCAATTTAGACTATTGTGTTCTGATCCATCACATAAAATTTAGATTGATAAAACATTGAAGTTAAGGTTGTAATGTAACAAAATAGGTAACAAAAAGTCAAGGGGGGTGAATACTTTTGAAAGGCACTGTATAATGTCTAAGTGTTTATTAAGGGAAAATAATCTAATCTCACAGTTCAATCTTGTTTATAAAACAGTAGCCCCATTAACAATTTTCTCAATAAAAAAAAAAAAATTACATATTTTGCATGTACAAATGCATAACATTTCACATCCCTACATACACATTATTTAAGCCCGAAGGATGAACGCAAAAAAAAAAAAAATTAAGGGTTTCTCTTTAAGTTCCTCCATTTTAATATCCTATATTTATACCCAACACAAGATTAAGTGTGAATAAAATATATATATATATATATAAAAAAAACAAAAAACAAAAAAAAACACAAAAACAGTTTGCTAATAATCATATTTACACATCCAGTGCAACTAAGAAAAATGAACTCAAAATATATTCACATATCAGTCCTTATTGTTAAATGTCTATGATCTGAATACAATTTTGGTAGTTAATGCTAACCCTATACCAACCCACCTCTAATCCTTTACTTATACCTTTACTCCTAACCCTACACTATTCCTAACCTTAAAACAGCATTAGCTGAAAACCAAAATTAACCACTGAACCTCCAGCATGTGTACCCTGCCAATCACACTGATCATTTCTGGGCAGCTGAGAAAGCCGAATTGGCGAACTTTGGGGGTCTCCCTTGGACTGATGGCAGCAGAAGAATGTCTGAGGGTGATCTGCTTAGTAACTCTGATTTTAAAAAGCTGTATGCAGCCTTTACTTCGCTGCATATAGTTCATCTGTCAGCCTGAGGCCAGTAAATATGGCACCACATGACAGAGAGGAGCCCCAGGAATCAATTGATATCCGAGACTCCCTGGTTTGAGAAGGCATTTAACCCTGACCACACCAAAACCTAAGGACGTGTCATTATGCCCAAACATTTTTAAAGCTCACAAGTTGTATGATCTAATGAAAAGTCCCAACGTCATTAATGGATTAATTACATAAAGCAATATTTTCCAACTGTATTTTGTGAAAGCCAAAAATCATGTAGCTACAAAACAAAAAAAAAAATTCATGAGAGATCATGGAAGTTTATAAAGATGAAAAGAAAATAAATTTTTAGCTCTATAGACAAAAAAAGCTTTATAAAGTAAAACCAGAAGATTTAGAATGGTGTAAAAACTGAAAAGTGAAACGAAGATTTTCAAGAAAAGCGCCATCTTTAGAACTTTGCTCCAGTTTTCTCTATGGAACAATTTTATACATTTTTCAGTATGTCTTTTTCACACACCTATCCATATAATCACTGGCACAGTCACATAACATCAATAAACAAACAACATTAAAAAACAAAATCAAAACAAAAATCTACCAACTAGGCTGAGCTGCCATCCGTTCCATGTATTCTGTGGCCAAGCCAATTGCTTCTGTATTTTCTGGATTCAAGATGCAGAACATTGCAAGAGCGCCAAGATTGTTGCCATATATTTCATTCCATCTAGCAGAAAACTCTTTGGGGTCCCAAGGTGGGAGATATTCACTTGGGTTGGTCAGCATGGTGTGAACAGCCTCATTAATGCGAGATGCAATGTGTTGATGGCTGCCTGTTGACTGTATACGCAGGTTTTCCACCTCACCCTTTGAAAAGTAGAGCATGGGGTAGCCGTCATATTTTGCATTGATGAAAGGAATTTGTGCGTTTGTGACCTCATCTGCAGCATGAACCACAAAGCAACTAAGCAGGCATATAAAAAACACACTGGGGGCCCCCCGAGTGTGAGTCCTCATTGTGACATTAGATCCCAAGTCCATAGAGTCTCCCAGACCATCTTTGATGCAGCCTGAAACAAACAAATGGAATTAATAAAAATGGTATACAAATTTAAGGTTTTGGCAAACTGCAATATGAACCCCTAAATACATATATTAGATGCCTTGGTACATAATGGCATAAACAAAGTAGTATTGGGTCTATAGAAGGTACGCCTATTACTTAAAGAAGCCAACGCAAATGTAAAAAAAAAAAAAAAAAGACGACATGTCTTACTAGGTCTCTCTCAGCAGAAGGCGTAACCCTGTTATAGGAGAAATGCTATGTATTAAAAATTGCATTCGTTTTTTTTCAAAATTCGACAATCTTCTGGGTGAATTAGAAAATGTTAGACAACTGTAATTTAGTCATTGTTAATGGGTACTCCACACCAGTGACCACTTCAGACCCTTTATGTGCATATACAGAGTTATTTCATGTGGATGCCGGCAGTATAACTCCACCAGTGGCAATATTTATAAGCCAGCTCGGAACGATCTTGCTAATGTGAATTGGCTTGTGCATTGGTTAAACATAGTCGACATGCTCAGTGGGACCTAGGTAAGTTGTAAACGGTTGAAAAAGGTTAAGCCTCCTTACCGTCATAACCACCACAGTGGTCTGAATGCTTTGGTGTCCCTTTAGCGAACTGGATTTATTTTGCTTTTATCTTTAACCCTTGATGCAAGGATAACAGCTGTGGTAAACAGAAATCCAATAAATTAAATTATATTGACCACATCTGGGAATTTTTTCTACTGTATATGCTGTAGTTTTTAGTAGAAAGAAAGCATATGACATTCATTAGGATGGAATTGAAGAAAATGTGTCTTACATAGTCCAAGAAAATTAATAACCTACAAAACTATTGGGAGGCATGGAACCCACATTGACTTCAGTAGTAAGGACTTACTTAGGTAGTCTGTTTGAAATGAGTTCACTGTGACTTTAAAAGATATTACTTTCAAAAAGTTTTGGGTGATTTTACATTTAAGAAAATTTATGAATTATAGGATATTAATGATTTGCACTGTCTTATTTTTTTAGGATGGCAGCTGTTATAGTGAAATTATATTATAATAAGTGCTCATGAAGGCATTTACTCCTCCCCTCCAGAAATTAGCATTGCTTTCAGTGGAAGTTAATTACATTTTTAGTCCCGAAATTCCAATTCTTATTTTAGGACAATATGCTCCCTTCTTGCAATGTGATCAACCCCTTTTGCACTGTAAAAATTAAAGAGACACAATAGTCACCAGAACAACTAAAGGTTATTGTATTTGTTATAATTAGACCTTCATGCTTTTTAATAAAAAGCCTGAAAAGGCAGTGTTTACATTACAGCCTAAGGATACCTCCACTGGCCATTCCTCAGATGACTTATTGGGAAAGTGCTGAACACTGTGCAGCACTAGCATTCAGTGCCTCCACTTTCTGAGTGGAGACACTGAATTTTCCTCATAGAGATGCATTGATTCCATGCATCTCTATGAGGAGATGCGGATTGATCACGGTGGTGCTTCTCTCCACCTCTTTGGCAATATCAGACAAAACAATGCTTTCCTATGTGAAAGTATTGTGATTGGCTTAGATCATCACTTATGATGATGTCAGCCAAGGAAACAGATCAAGGGCAGAGCAAGCACCAGCAGACTGGAGTAAAGGTAAGATTTTATTATATTTAGGGGGTCAAGTGGGGTATGGAGTCAGGGGGCTAGAACGTGTTTTAACGCTATACGGTCAGAAATACAGGTTTTTGTTTCTAAACCTATAGTGTTCCTTTAAGGCGTCAATGTTAAATTGTTGGATAAACCTTTAAAGATGACCTTTTCAACATATTAGAATATCAAAACAATGTTAAAAAATAATTTAAAAAAATTAAGTGGCAAAATATTTTTTCAATTCATCTAAAAATATTAATCTTATCCAACAATATTAAATCGAGGCCTAAGTTAAATAAAGATCCAGCATCTTTAAATAAGGATAAATCACCTAGGATCAAGCACCGAGACTCATCTACTGCAGTTTCCAGCTCTGCCTCCGGTGATGTCAGCAAACTTACTGATGTCACCCACGATCTCGCCCAATCCATTTTCATAGAAAAGCATTGAATTGGTGAGAGCATGCATGGCCAGCTGTGCGCTCCTCTAATCAACATTTGAGTGCAAGACTGAGTTTTATTCAGTTATAGACAGAAGTGCCTCTTGTTGCATTCTGGAAGATGGCCACAAGAGGCTTGCTTAACCCCTTAATGTAAACAGCAATGTTTTACATTAAAGTGTTAAAGGTACATCTTTATTGCGATGAAGTGTGACTTTAGTAGTCCTTTTAAGTCTATAGCGAGAGCAAAAAAACAGGGTACAAGAGAATACGGAGAACGGACAATGGCTAAAATAGCTTGCTTTCAGTGTGTCTCTCGTCGGTTTTCAAGCTGGTTTTAGCTCATCTTGTGCCATTATAGAGAATACATGAACCATTTGCATATCATACTGATCCCAACAAAAAGGGCGATACAAATCCAAAATATAGGCCGGCTCCATCTGAGAGATACAGCAAGCACAGACAATCATTTCCGCCTTCGTAGGCTTTGTCTGTGAGTAGTAGCAGATACCCCTCAAAGCACAGTAAATCTATAGCATATATTACACTTTTCCCGATTCTGATACAGTCATTTTGAGTAGCTACTATTTACAGCGATCAGTCACATACTTTGAATGGGCTATTTTTTTTTACCAGCATTTCTCCTCACAGTATGTGTCTGAAACATTGTGCTGACTGTACATTTTAAAGCCTGGCCAGCCATCCAAATATGGTTATTATATTTCTAGTTTTAAAAAATGTTTTCCTCCCATAAATAATGACTTATAAATGTCTGGAATGGGTGTGAAAATAAAAAAAGTTTTTTAAATGTATTATTTGCAAAACATGACAATCCACAATTCTGTGGAATAAGCTAGACTTAGATCGGCTTTAATACTGGAAAACAAAAATGTAAAATGCATGTCACTTACTGCTTTAATTACATTGTTGGAGTTTTGTTGCTAAATTGACCATCGACTTGCCAAAACTTGAGAAGTAATAAATCTTTATATATATTTATATATTTTTTTTCTTTTTTTTTTCAGACTATTTCTACATCTAGTTGAACAGCATTCCTACACCACCCCTGAAGTTTTTAGTCTGCTTTGAAATTTCAGTTGCTGGGGGCTTAGTCAAAAATTTACCAGAACATTTGTGAATAAGAACTAGTTACCAATTCATTAATTTTAAAATACACCAAAAACAGCCCCCCAGTCAAAAATATTGCTAACAAACAAAATGCTGACAGACAGCCTGGAGATAAATACTCCAGATATTTATGAATGCTTGTAAAAATAGTAAAACAGAAGAAAAGTATGTTTTTCTACCTGCCCAACCCCTTTGTCTCCTCGACATTTTTTTGTTGTATGTCACTATATTTGTTGCGACGGTACAGTGCATCTGAATTACATCTCTCATTAAAGGGATACTATAGTGCCAGAAATACAAAGCTGTATTCCTGGCACTGTAGCTCCCTCTGTGTCACGACACTCCTTAGCCGATTTGCCCTCGTGCAGTACTCATACTCACCACTGTTTCTGATTTCCTTTTATTAAGCACTTCACCTGGTCCTTGTTTAGCACCTATTTAGTTTGGGTTCTCCCCTCACTCCTGGCCAGATCATTGCCTTTTGTTTCCTGTTTCCCTGGTTTCCTGTGTTCCTGGCTTCTGCGTGCTGTGACTTGGTCCTGTGTCCTCCTGGTCCTTCATTGTTGTGTCCTCCGGTCCTGTGTTCTGGTTCCGTGGTCCCGGCTTTACTACCAGTGATCCTGTCCCTGCAGATGTCCCTATATTAGTCTTGTGACTCTGGATCTGTGCCCTACCTGTTACTCGTGGTAGCTGCACAATCCTACCCTTATACCCAAGGACTGTTACAGTATTTGTTGCCTGCATGATTAGTACTAATTTTGATTTACTGTATATATTTTGTGGCCGTGTGTGTGTGTGTGTGTGTGTGTATATATTGTTTTGCGTTTTCCTTTGGTTTCCTGTAAATATATATCTCTTGATTTATCCTATTTATTTGTGTCTTGGCATTTATTTCTCTGCTGTATGGGTTCCCACATTTAAAGTGACAGTGCTGTTCCAGGGCAGCACCCCTTCATGTAATTACACTCTGCCTACTCCTCCTTTGCACCCCTTTGCCCTGGTGAATAAAGGCTTAAAAACCCTTTATTTACTAATCTTTTCCCTTCGCCAGGCGTTGGGTCCTCTGATGGCCCGCGACCAGCGTGCACTAATGCACGTCTGTAAGGACATCCAGCATTATTTACTGAGCCAAAGGTCCGTTTCGATACAGGAAGCCCTCTAGTGGCTGTCTGACTTAGTGCTGCAATGTAAACACTGCAGTTCTCTGGTGCAAAAGGGACAGTACACCCAGACCACTTCAATTAGCTGAAGTGGTCTGGGTGACTACAGTGTGCCTTTAATGTTATAAGGAAAATTGACAAGGGTACAGTGCATGCTCTGTAGACAGCCAACACATGCAATACATGGGTGATTGACTTCCACACGGAATGCAGCATGAGGAACAGCTGCAAATGCCTGCATGTAGTATCATACATTCATGCAAGCCAGATTCCTTTTTTAAAGGAACACTATAGGGTCAGGAACACAACCATGTATTCCTGACCCTATAGTGTTTAACCCACCATATAGGTGACTTGCCCTCCCTTAGACCCTTTAAAAGTTAATAAAACTCACCTTATTTCTGTGCGGGTCCGTTGGCACCAGCCCCGCCCCCTTGGTGACATCAGAATTGCCGATTTTTAGCCAATCCAATGCTTTCCCATGGGGAAAACATTGGATTGGCTGAAATCTGCAAGGGACTGGGTCAAACAAAGTTTTGGCCAATCAGCACCTCCATTGAATCAATGCATCTCTATGAGGAAAATTCAGCATCCCCATGCAGAGCATGGAGACGCTTAACAGCATTGCTGCCTACTGTACAGCATTGAGCCAGTAAGCACCTCCAGTAGCCATCTGAGGAGTAGCCACTTGGACTTGTCCCTAGGGGCAATGTAAACACTGCCTTTTCTCTGAAAACAAAATGCCTTTTCTCTGTTTGCATGGAAAAGCCTGCATTTAAAATGATTATACTCACCAGAACAACTACATTAAGCTGTAGTTGTTCTGGTGACTACAGTGTCGCTTTAATGAAAGGTAAAGAACTGATTGGAGCTTTCAGACACTTCCTTGGTTTTAAAGGGGGTCACATTTGTAGTAGTATTAATACTTTCTAAAACATTTCATTCATAGCAATAAAATAGTGTGTTATAACAAGAGATTGGGCACAGGATCTAGGGTACACCATTAAATCACAAGATCTTATGGCATGAACCTGACACCCATCATTATGTTTGATGAAATTAAAGGAATACTTTATGGTACAAACATATATTTAACAGTTTAGTAAATATATCTGCAATAAAAACATGCATGCAATTATTGCAGCATTTTTTCATTGTGAGTATTTATAAACCGCTTTCAAAACATTCTTGTGTGCAGCCTCTGCAAGTCCTATTCCTCTTGCCCAGTCCAAACTTTCTGTGGCTGTCCAATTATTATTTATATAGTGCCAACAAATTCTGCAGCGCTGTACAATCACAGACTTCCCTATGCACATCTCTCTCTCTCATGTTGCAATCACACAAGTGGATGTACTCTCTACAAATACCGTATTTATCAGCGTATAACACGCACTTTTTCTCCCTGAAAATAGGGGAGAAATTGTGGGTGCGTGTTATACGCCGGCCCTTTAAATACTGCAGCCGCCTGAGCGCTCTGTGAAGAGCGCTCAGGCGGCTGCAGTTGGTTCTCACCTCCCCTGTAGCGTGGCCGAGCTGCTCTGCTGTAGCGCGGAACAGGAGTTTCTGTTTCCTGTACCCGGTCGGACTGACAGGAAGGTGCACACTGAGCGTGCACCTTCCTATCACTCCGGCCGGCCACCGCGGACAGCAGAGCAGCTCGGCCACGCTACAGGGGAGGGGGTAAGAAGGGGGTAAATAGAGGGGGAGGGGGGTAAGAAGAGGGGGGGGAGTAAGAAGGGGGAGTAAGAAGAGGGGAGGAGAGGGAAGGGGAGGGAGGGGAAGTAAGAAAGGGGGGTAAGAAGAGGGGAGGGGGGAGTAAGAAAGGGGGTAAGAAGAGGGAGGGGGAGTAAGAAGGGGGTAAGAGGGGATGGGGAAGTAAGAAGAGGGGGAAGGGGAGTAAGAAAGGGGGGTAAGAAGAGGGGAGGAGGAGTAAGAAGGGAGTAAGAGGGGAAGGGGAAGTAAGAAGAGGGGAAGGGGGTGAGTAAGAAAGGGGGGTAAGAAGTTCTTTATTTGAAATTTAAAGGACCACTCTAGGCACCCAGACCACTTCAGCTTTATGAAGTGGTCTGGGTGCCAGGTCCCTCTAGGATTAACCCCTTTTTTTTTATAAACATAGCAGTTTCAGAGAAACTGCTATGTTTATACTGAGGGTTAATCCAGCCTCCAGAGCCTCTAGTGGCTCATACGAGTATGTTTTCCTGGCACTATAGTGGTCCTTTAAGTTTTTTTTCCATTAAATTTCCTTCTTAAAATGAGGTGCGGGTTATACGCCGATAAATACTTTTGTGTAGTGGTTTTGAAATCTGTGACTACTATAAAAGTTGTAATCTCAGCATGCAAGAATTACAAGATAAAAAGGAGGCAGATGACAAACATTAGTGGGGACTGAAATACTGTAGAAGTGTGCAACATACCCAGTGGATGATTGTATGGGTACATTAACCCCTTAAGGACTGGACTGTTTTTGCGATGTTGTTCATTTGCGACCAGGCATATTTTTACAATTTTGTGGTGTTTGTTTTTGGCTGTAATGTTCCGCTCTCTCATTTACTGTTCCCATACAAATTATATATTGTTTTTTTCAGGACAAAAAGGGCTTTCTTTACATACCATTATTTATATAATCTCATGTATTTTAATTTAAAAAAAATACAAAAATCTGATGAAAAATTGAAAAAAATACATGTTTTTTGACTTTTACTTGAAAAATCTTTTACTCATCTACAAAAGCGAATGAAAAAAACTGCTAAATAGATTCAAAATTTTGTCCTGAATTTAAAAATACCCAGTGTTTACGTGCTTTTTTGCTTTTTTTTGCATGTTATAGGGCTATAGGTACAAGTAGGATATTGCGGTTTCAAAACATACATTTTTAAAATTTATCAATAGTGACATTGTAACACTTATCTGTCATAAATCTCTGAATAACACCCCACATGTACATATTTTTTTTAAAGTAGACAACCCAGGGTATTCAATATGGGGTATGTCCAGTCTTTTTTAGTAGCCACTTAGTCGAAAACACTGGCCAAAGTAAGCATTCATATTTGTTTGTGTGTGAAAAAAGTAAAAAAACTAAATTGAACGCTAATTTTGGCCAGTGTTTGTGACTAAGTGGTTACTAAAAAAGACTGGACATACCCCATTTGCAATACCTTGGGTTGTCTTCTTTTGCAAATGATATGCCATCATGGGGGTAATTCTCATTCCTGGGCTACCATACGCTCTCAAAGGCAACGTAACCAACCTGGCCATTTTCAATGTAAAAATATTTGACCCATATATTTGACCTTGTAACTTTCAAAAATGCTATAAAACCTGTACATGGGGGGTACTGTTTTACTCGGGAGACATCGCTGAACACAAATATTAGTGTTTGAAAACTGGAAAACGTATCACAACAATTATATCATCAGTAAAAGTGCTGTTTGTGTGTGAAAAATGCAAAAAAAGTCACTTTCACTGACAATATCATCGCTGTGATATGTTTTACTGTTTTGATTCACTAATATTTGTGTTCAGCGAAGTCTCCCGAGTAAAACAGTACCCCCCCCATGTACAGGTTTTAGGGTGTCGTAGAACGTTACAGGGTAAAATACAGTGCTAGCAAATTAAATTCTCTGGACTTTTGGCCTGGGTTGGCAGGCAGGTCACTCAAATTGCAATCAATAAAATTACTTAATTATGTAAAAATATTACATAAATACGCACGTAGAATTTAAATTTATATGCATATTTATATATTTGAAGTCTACGTGTATATTTATATAATTTTGTATATGGACATATGTATATTTTGTATTATTTTTATTTATATATACAAATTCATTCTAAGTGTATTTTGATATAAATATATATATATTAATTTTAAAATACAGTTAGAATAAAATTTCATATAGATATATAATTTTTATTATTTAAAAAAAATTAATTTAATTTAAATTACGTATTATTTATATTTTATAATAATATATATACACACACAATATATATAGTTATTATATATATATATATATATATATATATATATATACACACACACACGTGTGTAATTTAATTATAAGTGTATTTTTATATTAATATAAGCACATATTAATATAAAAATACACTTAGTATGACTATATATATAGAATAATATATGTCATATATATATACATACATACACACACACATACACAATTTTTTTTATTTTTAATTAACATTAACTTTATTTTATTTTTTTTATTTTACACTAGCAGGGAGACTGCCTGTCAGCACAGACAGTCCCCCTGCAGGCAGACACATGGACACCTATTGTGGCCATGTGATCGCTGTGTTAAGCGATCACATGGCCACAGGGGTCCTAATTCAGTGTGGGGAGACTGTCTGGGCTGCAGGCAGTCTCCCCACACCGGGAGCAACACTGATCGCCGCCGGTGGAACGACGGCGATCAGGTAAGTACATTGGACCGTTAGGACGGTTCAGGACCGTCATCGGTCGGCAATGCAAAAATGCCAATGACGGTCCTGAACCGTCCTCGGTCCTTAAGGGGTTAAGAAAATCCAATAATGTCACAATACAAACAACAAACAAAATGGTCAATAGCTTCACAGCTTAACCCCTTAAGGACCAAACTTCTGGAATAAAAGGGAATCATGACATGTCACACATGTCATGTGTCCTTAAGGGGTTAAAGGGACACTATAGTCACCAAAACAACTTTAGCTTAATCAAGCAGTTTTGGTGTATAGAACATGCCCCTGCAGCCTCACTGCTCAATTCTCTGCCATTTAGGAGTTAAATCACTTTATTTATGAACTCTAGTCACACCTCCCTGCACAGCCTTCCTAAACACTTCCTGTAAAGAGTCATCTAAAGTTTATCCTTTCTTATTGCAAGTTATGTTTAATTTAGATTTTCTTAACCCCTGCTATGTTAATAGCTTGCCAGACCCCACAAGAGCCTCCTGTATTTGATTAAAGTTCAATTTACAGAGCAAGAGATAAAATTGTTTAAGGTAAATTACATCTGAGTGAAAGTTTAAAAAACAAAACAAAAAAAAAACATTTTTTTTCATGCAGGCTGTGTCAATCATAGCCAGGGGAGGTGTGGCAAGGGCTGCATAAACAGAAACAAAGTGATTTAACTCCTAAATGGCAGTTAATTGAGGAGTAAAACCTGAGTGGCTTGATCTACACAGTAAAACTGCTTCATTAAGCTAAAGTTGTTTAGGTGACTATAGTGTTCCTTTAATTACACTGCTTTTTACCACCATTAAGCCGCAAAGACTACAAGAACTTTAATATCAGCTACTCAGTTAGAAATCTGTTTACAGCGTGAATTCTCCGGAATCTAAAGCAAATATGTCATGTGTGGTCAAATTAGCACTGCATATCTAACAAACACTGTTTCTAACAGGAAAAACAAGTGTTTCTACAGAATCGTCAATTTACTATAGATGAAATAATTTCATTCTGCACAATTTTTATGTTCCACACAGGTTATACAACTCTTTACGAAATGTTCTCAAACCGAATATACATGCAAATTATCTAACATTTATATGCATTTAAAAAAAAAAAAAAAAATCCCCATTTTCTAAGTCTATTTCTAGCATTTTTTTTTTTTTTAAATCAAGCAAAACAGATTCATAGGGTGAAGCAGCATATACATACCACGGGGCAAACGGGGCAGCTGCCCCGGGCCCAGTTACTCCTGGGTGGCCGAAGCAGCTGCACTGTGGGCCCCGCTGGCCCTCAAGCATTTCTCCCACCTGCGGTGCAGCCGCACACGAAGGTGGGCCACCGGGTGGCCCATGCACTGAGGGCCACCTGGTGGGCTTCTGTCGGCAGGGGCCTGGTCTTGCGCTCTGGCACTTTAAGAGGGCGACCAGGACCTCTTGCTTTTCGACAGCCGGCTGAGAGGAAGTGACGGCCGCAAGTCACCTCCTCCCATAAAGAAAGGAGCGCGCGGGAGGAGGAAGAAGCAGAGCAGAGGGAGTCTGGGCTGAGCCGAGCCACCAGTGGGAAAGCCAGCCTCCAAGGTAGGAAACTGGAGGGCAGGTTTAATAGTGTAAAGTGTGTGTGTGTGTGTATCTGTGAATGTCTCAGTATATGTCTGTATGTCAGTGTATGTTTGCCTGTGTATGCTAGTATGTCAGTCAGTGTGTGTGTCAATATGTTTGCCTGTGTGTGTCAGTATGTGTCAGTATGCCTGTCATTGTGTCCGTGAACGTATGTCAGTATGTCTTAGTATATGTGTGTGTCAATATGTCTTTCAGTGTATGTGTCAGCGTGTCAGTATGCCTGTGTGTGTGTGTCTGTGAATGTGTGTCAATATATCGGTCAGTATATGTGTGTGTGTCAGCATGCCTGTTAGTGTATGTGTCTGTGTGTGTCCATATATAGATAAGTGTGTGCATGTCTGTATCAGTATGGCTCTTTGTGTCAGTATGTGTGTGTTGGTGAATGTGTCAGCATGTCTGTCATTATGTCTGTGTGTCTCTCAGTATATATCTGTCTATGTGTCAGTATGTCTATCAGTATATGTTTGTGTGTCTGTATGTGTGTGTGTGAATCTGTGTAACTGCATGTGTGTCTATGTATCTGTATGTTGTCTTTGTGTATTTCGGTGTATCTGTATGTTGTCAGTATGCGGATCTGTATGTTATTAATATGTTTCTCTATGTATCTGAATGTGTGTCAGGTTGTGTATCTAAGTGCCAAGTTGTTTATGTGTGTGTGTGTGTATATATATATGTCTGCATGTGTTTCAGTGTGTGTATATATTTACATGTGTGTTTGTGGATGTATGTGTGCATACATCTCAACATTCACATGCTAACTCTACAAACAAATACACCCCTGCATTCAAGCTTCAGATCTACATACAAATACACGTCTGTGTTAAACACCAACATATATATATATATATATATATATATATATATATATATATATATATATTTGTGTTAGGTGCTTAAGATAGTACAGTGTGAAATACCATGAATAAGCGTAGGATGATAAAAGGAGCAAGTCGGTTGTGGTGTGCCGAAACCGACGATGAGGTAGGCCTGAGAGAGAAGAGGGCAAAAATTAAGTAATCAAATTTATTAACAGACAACCAATACATATACATTTATCAACCAGACATGTTTATGAAAGCATCCCTTAATTCTTGTACTGGGTTCGGTATGTACCGTGAGTAAGCGGATGACTTCCAGCACCCCAGTGTTTTGATAACATGAGTTGGGATGTTGACACTGGAGGCTGTGGACGCGGCTCCTATACGAAAGGAGTGTCCTGAGTATTTGTTTGCGTTGAGGCCCAGTTGTGTGAGCAAGGACCTGACGTAAGTCATGAAGGTTGTAGTGGTGAGTACTGCACCTTGTAGTTGTAATAACGGTTGCGAGGGCAGTAAGTGATGGTGCTGTATGTAGGCATCAAGAACCTTGACGGGACACCATCTTTTGTGCGTGGGATAGTACGGAATGTTTACAGGTATGTGCTGGCTGGTTTTGGAGTGAGGTAAAGACAGGATGTAATGATCCATATGTTTTGTCAAGTGGGAATAGAGGAGGAATGGAGTGGTTTGGGTCGTGGAGGTCGTAGTGAATTCTCTGGGTCGTAGAAATCCATAGAAAGCGATGTATATTGCTGTTTTGATGATAGAATTCGTATTAGTGTCAAACGGTTTTAGGTCAAGTAGGTTAGATAATGCTTTGAAGATATGGTTATCTATGGGTAGCCTCTGGGCCAAATGTGTGGGTTCTGATTTTTGAATACCTCTGAGTATGGTCTTAATTTGGTGAGAGGCCATGAAACTGTTGTTATTTGGGTGTAAGATGAGCATGTGGTGTTGAATGCCAGTGAGAGAGAGTTTGATGGTGTTGTATGACATTTTGAGTTTAAGGTGGCAAAAGGAAGCAAACCCCAAAAAGATGTCATAACAAACGGTTGTATGATGTTATGTTCCAGAAGGAATCGTTTGAATAGTGTGAAAGCCCTGCTGTATGTTTTGTTTGTATTGTTTGAAAGTGCCAACTGGGACAATGTCCTGCTATGCTGCATGATGACGTCTAGTCCAGTATGAGTTGTTGAAATGTTGGAGTGATGGTGGCTGTGGGTGCTGCTGACGGGAGTGCTTGATGGAACTCCTGAAATTTAAAGCGAGACAAATTGTCAGCAGCTGTGTTATATACACCTGGCACATGGAAACAACATAGGAAGAAATTATGACAAGCTGCCAACCAAGTGAGTTTCCTCAGAAATCTCATGATCGTAAGAGATTTGGAACGACCTTTGTTGATGATGTGACAGGTTGCCTGGTTGTCTGAGTAACAACGCACTGGCGTATTAGCCCATAAATGACCCCACGCTACGGCAGCCGCCACTATGAGAATATTCTCTATCTTATCGTATGGTAGGCTTGCTTGCATTGTGGCAGAGTCTAATTGGATACCCAGAAAAGTGATAACCGTGTCTGGCCCTTCTGTTTTCTTTGGGGAGAAGGGTACACCTAGTTGCTCAAACAGCTTAGTGGTAGCTTTGAGGCTAGTGGGAGGTGCAGTATTCTCCTCGACCAGTAGGAAATCGTCCAAGTAATGTAATACCGTAGGGCATCCAGCTATGTTCAATAGTAACCAGCATAATGCTTCAGCAAATGTGTTGAAAATAGCTGGGCTACTTTTGGACCCAAAAGTTAACCGGGAGAAAAAAAATTGTAGTTCCCGGACCACTTGATGCCATGCAGGTGCCACAGTGTGGGGTGGATAGGGAGTAATTTGAAGGCGTTAGTAATGTCGGTCTTACTGAGCCAGGCTCCAACCCCTGCTTGTATGATATCTGTAATGCCGTGATCTATGGTGGTGTATTGCAGAGAGAATTCCTCAGAGGGTATGAGGGAATTAAGACTGGGGTTGGCCGATGAGTGGGGAGCCGATAAGTCAATGATGAGTCTCTGTTTTTGGGAAGATTTCCCTGTGACAATACCAATAGGGTTGGTGCGCCATTCTGTGAATGGAGGAGTTCTAAAAGGCCCCAATACAAAGCCCTCATCCACTTCTTGGGCTATGAGGGTGTCAACCACTGTGGGGTTGTGTTGGGCGGATTGTAGGTTAGGGCATTCCAGAGTTCCAGCTGGTATGTGTAGGATACCTGTGTGGAAGCCTTCTGTTAAACCAGAAATAAGAAAGTCTACCAGGTGTCTAGATGGGTGCTGAGACATCAATGCTGTGAATACTGGAATATTAATGGACGTAAGGTAAGGCTTGGAATACATTTTATTTGGACACGTGGTCTTTGCATGTGCCCTAAAACATTTTGAACAGACATGCAATAATCTACATCCACTGTAATTACAAGACCCAACATTGAAATTATTACATATCTGGGACTTGCCCAGAAACTTGATTGGGCGTCCCAATTTGTCTTTGGATAGTTTCCCTGGATCCCCAGAGGAACTAGTTCCTTGTGTGGAGGCATGTCCGTCTGCCGTGTTGGGACAAAAATTAGTAGTATGGGCTGTGGAGGAGCAGTATGCACAAGCTGGTGTTCTTAGACCTGCAAAGTGTCTGCAAAATAAGACGGTATCAATCCTTCCCCAGTTGGATCGTGTTCCGTACTGGGAGAAGGCTCCAGCCACTTTTGCAGAAAAAGACGTATGGTAGTCATAGAATGCTGAACCACCATATTTGTTGCCCAGGTCTACCAGCTTGTGCATATAGAGATCAAACTCCTCTTCTGTTGGGATAAACCGCACAGATGACATCCCTGTAAATACCAAACGCTAGTACAAATTCTGGGATAGTCAGTTTCCTGTTCAGGCGGGCATCCCTAGATCTGACAATAACAGAAACATCATCATAAGAATACGTCTTATGTTCCACAATGTCCTGGGAGGCAATCAACAGGGAAGCCAGGTTGACGTCTTTACCTTCCAGGATATCCCTTTTGATATGCTCAGGTATCATGTGGGCCGGGCTAACTTCCTGGTCATCCAGGGTGCTGGCTGGAGCGACTAATGGCAAGGCTGGTGTTTGTACCGCAGCCGCGGGTGGCCCTGCTAGAGTGAGGGCCGTGGTGACCGACTCAAGTTTCTCCAGCCTGGAGTTGACCTTGCCCATGGATGCTATGAGTGAGGATAACATGGCATGTATGTCCCCTGGGTTGGACTGGCTAGATCCTTCCCCGGCCTCCATGTTATTAGTTGATGTGCGTAGCAGTTTGAAAAGTTCTGCCTTCCTTGCTGTAGCGGGGTAGGGGATTTGTCGTCTCCTTAATTCCGTGGTTATGCGAGGGATTGTCCAGGATCTAATTGATGCTGGACTAGCTAGCTCTCCTTCTTGTGTGGGAGTGACAGCTCTAGCCGGGGTGCTAGGCAGGGAGAAATCCTCTACCCCTTCCTGAGACATACTATAAATAAAACAATAATTAGTATATAGAACCACCAAATTGTACTGGCAGGCTAGCTAGGCCGGATGGCGAAAGTATTATACTTGTTTGGTAAACAGGTGAGGCCCTGCTAATTGCCAAGCGGCTTGAGAGGCTCTATCTATGCGTTGGCGCGAGGGGTTATTGAGGCCACTTGACGTAGTGGCAGGAGTTTTAGGCCTCTCGGTGACTGTACGACAGAAAACAGGGGAAGGGAGTGACAGGTGAGGCCCTCTCTTTGCAACATGCGAGGCGGCTAGCTAACGTGTGGCCCGATGGGTGTTTGCCTCTGGAACGTTTGAGGTGGGGTGTTGGCCTCGCGGGACCACTAACTGATGGCGACAGCCAAGACGGGGTAAATACCTATTGGGAATCCTGTGACCCTATTGACAGTACTCTAAACTAGGGGGATGAAATGAAATTTATGGTAGAATACCATATGAGCAGGTGTACGTACCTGGTAGTATGACAAATCACAGAAATAAACCGTGTGGAGCAATTATATAAGCTTGACAGCCTAAAAATGGGTAAAAGAGAGTAGTATGATGAGTGTGGAGTGTGAAAAGAAACAGACTTATAGTCTGTAGCAGCAATGTATTATTATGTAATGTATAATTTTATAATGTAAAATTATGTTGATACCATGGGAATAGCTATGAGTGGCTCAGAAATGTTTGCATGCTTGAATAAGACATCCGAGGGAGGCCGTGGCCATTGTACAAACAATCTATGTGTTACGTGATAATGGTGTGTAAAGGAAAACATGAAACGTAGGTTATATACATATGTATATGACTGTGCAGGGAACGTAGGATTGGTTGGATCAGTACGTGTGATTCAACCCGAGTATGCATAAAAAGGATTTAAGCCTTATGTGTCATCGTCATGACAGAGAAATGAGGCCTGTAATATAGGCTGAGTGAATTGAAATGAAATGGATAGTTATAAAACTCCTGGCGTGGGAGTTCAATGATCTGTACAGAAATGTAACTGGTTTTATAGAAAGGGACATGGATGAGGTCATGGCCTACTTTACACAGCGTTATGTATGATATGTAGCAGAATAACCAAAGGCAGGGATACCCCAAAATGATTTAAAATGATGTAAAGTTGTAAAGATGTATATCTATATGATATATTTGTATAGAAAAGACGTATCAACCCGAGAATTATTGCCTAAATGAACCTATATCCTTTGTATGTGTTGAAGTAATAACCCAGAAGTGAGGGCTGTAACATAGGCTGAGTCCATTTGTATAAATGGATAAGTAATGCAGACCCCTGAAAGCGTGGGAGTCAAATGGTATATACAGAGAAGTGGACTTGATTAGTGGACGTAATACAATACTGACAATATTTAAAAGTAATCAAAATAATCTATTTAAACAAGCAATTCTTAACCGAATGTTATGTACACATGAAATGGTGAATATAATTCATGAAAGGATTATACGTGAACACACAGAAAAGCCGAAAGCAAATGTGAGGGAAACACAGAAGTTAGAATAGTTTAACCGTATGACCGTATGAACCGAAAGCGTGTTTGAGCGTAAGTGAAAATTTGCCGAACGGCAAAACAACCGAATGATAATTTGTTTCAATATTACATGAAATAGGATATGCGAAATGACTATTGAACGATTAACTATGTTCAGCCGAATGACCGTATGAATGAAAAAGCCCGCGAATGGCTTGAAACATTCGTGTCATAACCAGGGAAAAAGCGGTAAAGCGAGGACCCATGCTGTACCGTACGCCGTGGGAACCGGTCCTGGCGTGACAGGAAGGTCTGACTCACAGTTTAGGAGTCCCTGGGACGCGATCTACGACGGAGACCGGAGTCAGAAGAAGCTGGACGGGCGGAAGGCCTGAACAGGATTCCTGGACACAGCTAACATGGTGAAAACCTCGTGGATACTGAAACCAAGATGGCGTCTGAGAGAACCCGGAAGTGGATCCTCATTCAACGCTGACCTCGAACGGTAAGGAGCAAGGTAAGGGGAGTGCCTTAAGTAGGCTAGGGGTAGCAAACCAGCACCTCCCACAAATGCAGGCAAATTGCCTTAATACATTATATATATATATATATATATATATATATATATATATATATATATACACACACACATATATATACATACATACACATACACACACACATATATACACATACATACATACATACACACACATACACACACACACACACACACACACCTCCTGTCTTAATTTATATAAGAGTTTAGAAACAAAATTCTCTCTCTCTTGCTATACACCAGACACATACATAATTTTTTACATTTGGAACCGATAAATTGTAACAGTTCCACAAAGACAACTTACAAGAGCTGTCTGTGACTTACAATAGCAGACTTCCCAAATTCCCCCCAGGTGCACAGATCCTGTTTGAACTTATTCTGAATACACTGATCAGCCACGAAATTAGAAAACCCTGCCCAATATCGAGGCGGTCCCTCTCATACTGCCTAACAGCTCCGATGCATCGAGGCATGGACTCCAGAACATCTCTGAAGGTGTCCTGTGATATCTTGCAACAAACTTTAGCATCAGTTCCTTTAAGTCCAACAATTTGGGAGGTAGGGGCCTCGAAGGTTCAGATTTGTTGTTCAAGCACATCCCATAGATGCTCAATTCCATTGAGATAACTTTGTCATGTTCCTCAAATCAGTCCTGAACAATTTTTGCAGTGTGGCAGGCAGCATTATCCTACTGAAGCAGGCCACTGCCATCAGGGAACACCATTGCCATGAAAGGGTGTTTGTGGTCTGCAACAATCGTTAGGTAGGTGGTACAGGCTATGCACCGGATCAAAAAGAAAATGGGATTCATCAGACCAGATGACAGTTTTCCATGGCTCCATGGTCCAGTTCTGACACTTGTGTCACCATTGAAGGCGCGATTGGTGTTGGACAGGGGCACTCTGATAGTTCTGCGGCTATGCAGCATCATACGCAGCAAACTTGATGTGTGTGTGTATGTTCTATCATAGCCAGCTTTCCATTTTTCAGCAATTTGAGCTACAGTAGCTCTTCTTTGTGATCAGACCGGCTAGCCTTCACTCACAATGTGCATCAATGAGCCTTAAGTGCCCATTACCCTAATTATCATTACTGACATTTACAAAGCGCCAACATATTCTATAGCGCTGTAAAATTGGGGGGGGGAAAAAAAACAATACAATATAAACAGGCTAATACAAAAAGGAAGAAAGCCCCGACTGTGAACTTACAATCTAATGCCAGTTTACTGGTTGTCCTTCCACTTTTGATATGTACTAACCAATGCATACGGGGAACACAGCACAAGACTTGCAAATTTTAGAGATGTTCTGTTACAGTTGTCTATCCATCACTATTTGGCACTTGTCAAAGTCACTCAGATCTTTTTGCTTGCCCATTTTTGCTGCTTCCAATGCATTAAATGAAAGAACTGACTTCACTTACTGCGTAAAATATCTCACCCCTTGAAAGTGTCATGGCTCCCCACGATTCGGTCGGCGTGGGCACACTGAAACATAGCTGCTACGCCAGCAGAAAAGTCATATTGTTACCTTGGTCGCAGCAAACCGCTGCCCGGTCCCAAGCGAGTACGGCGTTCCTAGAGACCCCGGCCTCTGCGGTTCCGGTTTTAATAAGAGACTTCCCTCCGCCCACATCAAAGATGACGCCAACGTGCGTGCCTGGTCACATCAGACGCGCATGCACGTTTTGGTCAGACAGCCAGTTACAGCTTAAGGATGGTTATTTAACCCCAAATTACCTTTTTGTTAGTGCCCTGTTGTGGTTTCCACTAGCTTGTTATCCAAGAGTGTGTTCGTGATTGCGTTTTTCTGGTATTTTGACTTTGGCTTCGTTTTGACTTCCCTGATTTCTGGTATCCTTGACTTCTGGCTTTCCTCATCGTTGTGTCTCTTTCGGTGTACCTGATCTCGGCAAGTATCTTTACTATTCTCAGGTCCGTTAAGTCCAGCCATTCTAAGGTCCGGTTAGACGTTATCCTTAGTCCTATGTGTGATACTATTCTGCGTACTGGATCAACTATAATCCTGACAGACATGTGCCATTGTTATGATAATGTTACTCCATCTGTGTATATATTAAGACAATGATTCACCTCTGGATTGTTTTCTTGGTTTTGAACCTTAAACAATTTTCACTAAAATGAATACCCATGAGAGTTTAAACCAGAATACAGGGCACAAAACCTCTAGTGTTATTCACTCCTGTTTAAAGCACATAGGGAAAGCAATAATTACAATTGTAAATAGAGAAATAAATAAGAAAAAAAATAATATACCTGTATCATTGTGAGAATTTACTATAAAATTAAAAATGCATCTATTGAATAAAAAAAAATATGGAATATTTAAAAACCGTAATAAAAATGTAAAATATTAATGAGCAAGAATTGCAATGAAGAAAGTTATTAATACTGATGCAAAATAAAAAAAAACAAGGGGGGGCCTAATGTGCATTAGGAATTCCCCATAGGAAAGCATTGCATCAATGCTTTAATACGGGGTTTTTCAAATGCTGGACATTTTCATGCAAAGTGTGAGAACGCCCAGCTTTGTTTCATAAAGTTAAACTCTACGAAATAGCAAGAAGCGCCTCTAGCGGCTACCTGATAGGCAGCCAATAAAGCCAGTCTTAACCCTGCAATATAAACATTGAGTGTCCGTTTTGAGTTCCAGACACTCGACGACCAAACACTGCTGAGATTTTCTTGCATGAGATGGCCGCCGCCACGAGGTTCGTATGCCGAACGGCGACCACCCAGATATGTATACAAAGTACCGATTGCATGGTCAATTAGCTTGCGGTTACAGAGTGTGAAAGCCTAACGAGGTGCACACTTCTCTCTGGGGTGGTCTGATGGTTCGGTAGTCTTCATTCGTATGGAACATGGACTGAAAACTACCGAACAATCAGACAAATGCTACATACAATACATCTATACAGGGGAATAATTACACGAAATACATTTTTAAAGCAAACTTTGAGGACAGCCCAATGCCATCTGCTACACATAGCTTTGTTAGAGCTGGAGTGGATCATTTCCCTGGGGGTCTAATTGAGCTGTGCTGAAATCTTCACCTAATACTTTTACTCAGGAACCAACAAGAAGTATTTTAGAATTAGGGAAGTTGGATAGAAGAGGCAGAGGACTGCAACATACTTATTTATTGTAAAACTATTAAAAATAAAAAAAATAAAAAAATTATTATACATGATGATATTTGATATCCATTAATGATTTGATAGTAGACTAAATATTTATCAATTCAAAAGCACAAAGTGGCTTTATAGCAGACTGAAAAATGTTCTTCTGGACACACATCCGTTTTTTTTTATTTTTATTATTTATGCAGATCTGTCTCCTGCTCTATCTAACCCTTCACCTCTCAAGAATGCCAGGAATTTTTGGTCCTACCTTCAGGGATTGCTGGATCAGTGTTGTTCCAGACAAAATAAAATGCACTTTTAAAATAATTATTCTATGTTCGCAGTCTAGAACACATGGATATTTGCATTTCTTTATATACATGGACCTAAAAAAAAAAAAATATATATATATATTATATAATATGTATAAAAATTTTGGGGGGGGAAATCTTCCTGCTGTGTATCAGCAAGTTTTAGTATTTAAAGAAATACTTAAAACTCCCAAAGCACATCAGCATATCTATGTAGAATTTTAGCATAAAAGTTCCAGCACTTTTATAACCCTTCCCTTGGTAGCAACACCCAGCTTTAAACAAGGGAGAAGGTTCCTCTACATATTTGGTTTAAATGCTGCTCTGCAGAAAGCATTGCCAATGCAATGCAGCAATTGCCATACATTGCCCTGCCTCCCAATGCTTCTTTAGACTAAGACGCATTCCGGGGGTTGTAGCTTGCTGAGGGCATAACACAGTGTCATGGATCAAGAATATAATTGTATCATTAATTTCTTTGTTTATCTGCTGATGATTTATTAAAAGATAGGAAGGCACAAGAAAAGGCATCAATTTACAATGTATACATCTGCTATCATTTCCGCTAACAGACTATAGCCCGACCAGGCTCCTAGGTTCCCATGATGGTGCTTAACCCCTTAAAGGGACACTCCAGGCACCCAGACCACTTCTGCCCATTGGAGTAGTCTGGGTGCCAACTACCACTACTCTTAACCCTGCAAGTGTAACTATTGCAGTTTTTTAATAAACTGCAATAATTACCTTGCAGGGTTATTTCCACCTCTAGTGAGTGTCTACTAGACAGCCACAGTCCTCACGCTGTGTGAGGACCTCCAGCGTCGCTCATTTCCCCATAGGAAAGCATTGAAAAGCATTTTCAATGCTTTCCTATGGGGAGCTCTAATGCGCATGTGCGGCATTGCCGCGCATGCGCATTAGGTCTCCCCGGCCAGTGGGCGGGATCAGTTTTGCCCACCGGCCAACGCAATCACTGGGAGGAGCAGCGACGTGGGACATCGTCGCTGCCTCTGGTAAGTTACTGAAGGGGTTTTCACCCCTTCACCAACCGGGGATTGGAATGTGGGAGGGAGAGGGGACCTGCAGTGCCAGGAAAACGGATTGTTTAGAGGGACTTCCGGGTGTTTAGATAACCTTTGGTCATTTAAATGACGCTGGATATCCTCACGCTTTACATGAGGACTTCCAGCATCACCGGAATCTCATAGGAAAGCACTGAACAATCAGATTTCTTCAGAGCCATAAAAGCCAAATACAAATATATAACTATAGTAAAAAAGCTCAACTGAAAGTGGGTGATTTAAGATTGAGGGTTTGGGGACTGTGCCTAGATCAATACTGCACTCCATTATTGACAAGAGGTGTTTTCTATTACAAGCACAGTACCTATATCTATAAGATAGTATTAAGAGTAAACCTTGAGATAGCCCAGTGTTAGGGAATTGATTTGGGATTGATCCCTTCCTATTTAGCCTATACACTTGTTAAGAAAGCTGGAATTCAGGATTGGGGATCATACATTTTATACGGATTCAGATTGTATCCCTACCTAGTGTCTATTTCTGGCTTGCATATTAGCATATGTATCACTTGCATATACTTTGGTTCATTTATTATGTTTTGGTTTTATTAATACAAGATTATACATTTTTTATGCCAGTATACAGTAATAACTATACAACTATACATATATCCAGGGGATGCAGCTGATCTCAGAGCTTTGTATGCACTGAGACTAGCAGCATCTACTTTCTGTTTGCTTTTTGTACTTTATATTTGGCAATACCCTATTATGTTCTGGTTCAGATTTTGATAAATACACACTGTACTTACTCATCATGTATAAGTACATGAACACTAAGTTCATCTCAAAACAACATACTCCTTTACACAACCAAAGTATGGAAAGTGGTCATTGTACTTACGACTGGACAGTGTTCTCTCTACACTCTGTGCAATCATGATCTGATGCTTGAAAATGGTGACACACACTACCTACACAATCTTACTGGGCAGTATATTCCACATGTAGGAGAGGCTTTAATAAGATTACTTTTTTACTTTGACAATTCCACTCTTCTCCTACCTACAAATTCAGAGAATCATATGCACAATTCTTTCTCACTTACTGTAAGTGACAATGACTGGTCTGTCTTTTTTAACTTCACACTTGATGAACAGGAATAACTGGACACACTCTTCTAGTTCAAAATACAATGTTCTTCTACGTCCAACCCTTAATTATAGCACACACAAATGACACCTTTGTCTTCAAAATCTAGAAGTACAAGGCACTCTGACATACACTAGACTAAACTAACGGTATGATCTATGAATGCTTCACAACAATATGCATTGGATTTAAAGGAACACTATAGCATTAGGGATACAAACATGTACAATTACCTGTAAGCCACTTAGATTACTACCTCCAACCATGTGAATTAAAAAAGGATAGAGATAGATAGATAATAGATTATATATATATATATATATATATATATATATATATATATATATATATATATATATACACACACACACACACTATCTCATTAACAAGGATGCATCTATAGTTTGGATTGCAGCTACCTGGCTTCACTATATTCTATAAATGATGAAGATGATAGCACTATACACAGACAGAGTCTATTCTTTAGCAGGAATATAAAACAGACAAGAGGTTATCTTTCCACCGAGACTAGAAGAAAGGTGGTTATTTTACAGTAAGAATAAAATAAATAAATAAATAAATAAATGAGATGTGGAATTTTCTGCCAAAAGAGTTTGTCTGATCAATATTCTATAGATATTTTTTTTTAAATCGTCTTTTTCTTTTTAAAAACAGTATTCAAGTATATATTTAAATATGTATATGAAAAGATTTTTGATTAAAAAAAGAAATCTGATTGCCATTATGTTGTCAAGAAGAATTTTTCCCCCATTCATGGCATAATGTATTACACAATTCATTTTTTTTTTGTCTTCTTGAGTCTTTTTTTTCCCCCAATTCAGATTACTATGTAACTAGGTAAGATGTTACATAGTAGCACTATTTATATAAAAACAAACATTCCACAACCGATCATCTTTGAAATGAATGATAAATAGGTGTCACATTCCATCTATCAATGCAGCATATTTGTCATATTCCTACTATCTTTGCTTTCAAAATAGAGGTACAGCAAACATAAAAGCTATATATTTACACAGTGTCAAATCAGATATTTTTAAAATGTACATAAATTATATTTTGTATTGTAGCCAAATAGAAATGAAGAAAAAAAATTGCATTTCTGAGGGCAGCAATTTACGATTTTTATTTGAAGAGTCTAAAAATATCATTGCCCTGTATTAGCATCAAGAACCTCCTAAAACAGTACATTTTGTTTACATTCTTTAATACAGTTTCATTCATGACATAAGTGCAACTGCAGTTAAATACCTCCAAAATCTATTCCTCTGTATCTGTATATGGAAAATCCCTTTAAACGTATATGTTTTGAATTTATGTAGCCAAAAGTGTTTCCTTCTACAAAATGCTGGTTTTATAAAAAAATAAAAAAAAAAATAAAAAAAAAATTCTGTAGCTTTTGTCTCACTTGCCATGACTCAGAAGCACCACTGGACAGCAAGAACAAAAATACAGATACACATTTAAAGGCCCTCAAAATGTATTTATTTTTTTCATGGGGAAGAGGAACCGTACAAAAATAAGGAAGGCTGCAACAGAATAGAAAACGTTAATATAGAACGGCCAGAAAAGGTTGAAAAGTACTGAAAAAGCATAGGGGAAGAAGAAGGGCTGTACTTATGAGTAGATGAAGGGTGAAAAGACATTTACGAGTTAGGGGGCTGGGGGAATTCAAAAAGATGATATATATATATATATATATATATATAAATTTATATATATATATATATATATATATATATATATATATATATATATATATATATATATATATATATATATATATATATATATATATATATATATACACACACACACACACACACACACACACACACACACACACATTTTTTTTTTTTTTTTACACTATCTTTGAGGTTTTTTATATACAGTAGAAAGGACCGCACTCCAAGGTCTCTGTGATAGTTTTCAAATAAAATGTAACTTTTATTTAATCCATATAAAAGTCAACGTTTCAGCCCCCACATGGAGCTTTCATCAGGAGTACGATATATATATATATATTCTGTCTGTGAATGGGAAGAGGCATGGAATGGTGAAAAACAAATAAATACGGGGAGACCATTATATGACCCATCCTAGAGGACAAACATTTATTCTACTATTAAATTTAATGTAAGTAGTGGAAAACAAGGTCTTAAATTGCTCCATGTCCTTCCACTGGTGACAGTGGCAGTCTGGATCCAATCCTTTAAATTAAGAAACTATCCATCTAAAAAGTATATGAAGATTTACCGACCTCGCTCTGTAGGACTTTAATCCTGCTTCATAGAAAATGCCTAGCACATATTGACAGCATGGGATTCATTAGACATGTACTAATCTAGCACAGGAGTCTGTAAAACACTAGGGTGTTTGGCTTATACCTGGTATGGATTCCTAGAAGAACACAGGAGTTTCTTTAAATTTACCCACTTCCAAGTAAAAGCTGTTAGACATTTAAACACAGTACCCATTTATCTAAAGTGCCTTTCCGATTTGTTGATCATGAGCACAATGCCCAATGCCTTTAGTCGCCCTCTCCCTGTCTGCTGTTTATTAACTGGACCCTGATTTTTGTCTCCCAGTTTGGAGCTTCTTGGTTCTCTAGATGCCGTTGTTATTATTACTCCAGCTGTTCCCCAGCCATTCCTACTGAACCATGTGATGGAATTGTATACAGGTCTGAATGCAGTTTAATGAAGCCGTTTTAGTTTATGCCTCTGAAGTCTCACTGGTTCTCTGCCATTTAGGAGTTAGATCACTTTTGTTTCTGTTTTTTAGTCTTAGCCACACTTCCCTTGTTGTGACTCACATAAGCTACATGGAAAAAAATGGGTTTCATTTTCAATCAGATGTTAAAAACTTCTACAGTGAGTTATCTCCTGCTCTATAAAATAAAATCTCCCTCACATACAGGAGGCTCTTGTGGGGTCTAGTAGGCTATTACCAGAGCAGGAGATAAGAAATTCTAAATTAAACAGAATGAGAAACAAAGGAAGTGTAAACATTAGATGACACTTTACAGAGAGTGCTTAGGAAGGCTGTGCAAGTCACATGCAGGGAGGTGTGGCTAGGGATGTATAAAAAAGTGATTTAACTCCTAAATGTCAGAAAATTGAGCTGTGAGACTGCAGGGACATGATCTTTACACCAAAACTACTTAATTACACTAAAGTTGTTTTGTGCCAATAGTGTCCCTTTAAGTCCCTTGGAATAATTAGTATGAAAGTGGTACAGAGTTATAAAGGTGTGGGAACAAAAAAGAATAACAAACTTGCTGTTTCCATGGCTACTGCCCATTTGAGAAAATTGTATCCCTGTTAAGCAATCTAGCTGCCCCAACCTCACTGTCATGTAAAGTGATATTTTTCTTGTAGTTTACTTCACCCAGCACTTAACGTAAAGCTCATATTGGAATGATTAATATTTGCTTACCAGTACCAGCACCTCACTGCACCACATTCTGGAAGCTCTCTGTCATGGTTACTAATGGAAATCTAGGGAGAAAGATCTATGGTGTGGTTTGTACATATCTCTGCTCCATGTCTTTGTACATGAACAGATGTTTTATAACTCTTTATTATATATTTCTCATTACCGTCAATGAGCAGTCTACCATGCATGGAGATCCCACGCTGATTTTATTTATTTTAAGATCCAGGGGAGCCCCTGGTTAGTTATTAATAACATTACTAAATAGATTACCAGTGCTCTGTGTACTATGTAGACTTGATAATGTGTGTGACATCAGTGGGACACGTAATAGACCAAAAAGAGTCCTTTTTTTAGACACTGATGGTGTCCCTCTAGTTTGCCCTGTGAAAAAATGTCACTGGAACATGGCCATGCAAATTATACCATGTGTAGCTGTTGACACTTTGAGAGTTGTTTGTGCACATCTAGAACATACAAAGCCTACAAAACACATACACTCTGGAAATTTTCAATTGGTTGTGGGGAAGCTACTAAATGAAGCAGTACAGGTTCAAGTTCAATACGAGTTACTATGTCATCAATGGTTTTACTTCACAGACAATTAAGACAACAGTGTGTCATGAGGGCAAAAAAACGGTTTGAACTTCTAACAGTCCATTCAGAATGGGTAGCATAAATCAAAGAAAAGATTTTTAGAAATGAGAATGTCAGCTCCTTGGCTAGCTGAGCCAGAGTGTATGGAATGAATACAATGGTTTCTCTGCAGTAGCTGTTGACATACAAAGGCTTTGAATGACAGTAACATCAAGATAGTAAAGATCATGTCAGATTATGTTTTTAAAGCAGGAATAAGTAGGGCTGTTAAAAATTATCCTACATATTTCAGTATTTCCTGATAAATTTGGGGAATTAAGTAGTGAAAGCTGTAGATTTAAAGTGCAAACTCTCAATGACACTTCAAACTCATCTTCTGGAATATTATGTCATTAAAGCTGATAAATCTGCTTAGTAGAAAACGTTTACATTACTTTAAAGTGAGGATTATTCACCAAACTAGAAATTACAATGAAGAATTACAAACTCTGGCCAAAATATCTGGACTGGTAAAATTGTTAATTTGGAGAAAATTTCCAGGTTGACAATTTTGGCCTACGAATGTTAAATTCCCTTGTCAGGTATAGGCAATTCCTGCTTTAGTGAAAAAAAATCCACCGTTATAAAATGTAAATAAACAAAGGAACATAGGTTATACAATTCAAAATCTCACAACAGCTCAATTGAAAACCATATTTTATTAGAAGAGAAAAAACATTGCTTCTATTTTGCCCCTTTTATTATACTGTGAAATAATAAAACCTACAGTCTCAACATCCATCAATCAGCTTATGTGTGGAGATGTATAAAAGTGTGTTTCTGGAAATTGCAACAAATGGCCAGTGTGCAGGACTAGAACAGTGATTTCATTATTGCAATTATTTTACTCACTGTAACAATCTTTTCCAAGTCTTCGGTTCTTGATATCGGTATTAGATGAAAAATATACATTTAATAATAGAGTTGCATGTATGGGATAATTCACTAAGCTAATGGTTGTAGAAAATTCAATATTTTAGGTAAAAATAGTCCAACTGAAATAACAAAAGAAAAAAAATTCAATTTTTGGGCTGGTCTTCTATAGTCTATAATTGATGATTCCTGTAAAGTTCCTTCTCCAAAATGAAAACAATTAAAATGGCTACTCTTACCAACAGAAATAATACCATAGTTTCATTAGAAAGGCAGGATACTATTATTTTAAAATAATTCTCAAAGAAGAAATCAACCTTTTTGCTGATTAAACAATGAGGACTTAAGGCATTTACCAAAAAGATGCTGCCTGCAGGGCAGCAGTTATTTTAATGAGGCCTTGCATTGCACAACTGAGAGATAGTCTTCCAAGTAAATAAAATAAATGCCTACATTTTCCGCACGTGTCTGTGAGTTTTAAAATAAAAAAATAAATAAATAATACACACACTACTTAACTCCATATACTGAAGTCTCAGTAACTGGCAGCTATCATACATACCATATCCATTATTAAAGCACTACAGGAAGTGCTAAAAACTCATTTACTACCTGCATTTTATAGCAGTGCTCTTTTTAGCTATGGAGTACATTTAGCAATAATGTGCAAAAATAAAAAAGGTGCAAAGTGCTAAACAAAGGACGCAATCCCCCCTATGGAACGCCCCTGATAATTGCTCAACATTCTGATTTACAATAAAAGAACATTTGACATAGTGCTATATCTTTCAATAGTCTGATGTGAATTAAAGGGCTGCTTCTAGGTCTCCCTCCCTCTGTTTACAATAAACTTTCTTTGATTCGCGTAGAAACCCCCATATTCCCTGCCAGGTTCTATTACCCCATGTATCCCCACTAAACAGTGAAGCTTTCAGAACTTACCCGGGATCTCGAACCGAAGTCCTCTGCGCCCACGGGACCCTCGCTGCGCCACTCCTAGCGCTGGGACCGCGGTCTCCCCTTCGAGAAAGCGCAGAGCATCCTCCGGCAGGGCATGCACGCCTCCTGGAGGCAGAGGATCAAGCACAGGGTCCGAGCCAGCGGTGGAGGTCACTGGGAGGACACTTGTACAACTGCCGCTACTCCGTGAGGTCCCGGTGTGCCCACCAGGATGGGCTTTAGCAGAAAACTACAACTCCCAGCATCCCCAGAGAAAAAGAAAATGCATTGAGAAACTTTGTGCTAGGTGCCCCCTCCTGCGGCTGCTGTAATGAAGCATGAGCCGCGTTGGCAATGTAGCCCCACCCCAAGCAGTGATTTTAACCCTAATATACTGTAGCTGGAGCAAGGCGGGGGAGGGGAAGGGAGAAAGGGGGGCTCTCTGCATTCTTCTGAGCTTTGCAACGTCAGCACTGGAGTGACCAGGAGCTCCCTCCTTCTGCTCCCCTAAGTTTCCACTAGGAAAGGGAAATAGAAGTTGTTCAGTAGGAGATAAATCACAAAATGTAGAGGAGGTGATATAATAATGATGATTATGACATTTAATAAAGTACAAGTTGTACTAAATCAGGTAGATGTAGGAAAACTCAGCAATATCCTGGTCAGATTCACTAAGTGTACATTAGTTATAGTATTACTCAGTAACATAAAGGGCATATCTTTTAAAATGCACATTTAGTTCATGCTCAATAGCATACTGGACAGATCCCCTTACAGCAAATGTGGTACAAAAAAGTAGATCAGGGTTTCACCAAGCTGATAAAAGTCCTATAGGCAACCTTTTAGCAGCACTGTGCCGAAATAAGATTGTGATGTCCTGCAGCGTGCCGGTCCTGTTTTTTTTTTTTTTTTTTTTTTAAATTGAGGTGTGTATGTTGCTGTAGTCTGCTTGTGTTATTTGTACGTATATGAGCTATTATATTGTATATGTTCACAAGTAGTTTGTTGTGTTATGTATGATACCTATGTATGGGAGCTGCTTGTGGAATTGTGTGTGGATGAATATGTCACATTGTGTGTTTGATAGTGTGTGTATGTTTGGGGTTTTGCATGTGAGAGACTGCATGTGGGGTCGTGTGCATGTATGTGGATTGTTAGTGGTGTTGAGTTTGTGAGGGATGTGTGTATGTTTGTGTGTGGGTTGGCTGTTCGTGTTATTTGTATAAGGGGAGGGTTATTCTGCATTTCTGTGTATATCAAGCAGTGTGGATGGCTTCCCTGGGTTCCAGTGGGGACCGTGCTGGCCAGGTACAGGTCAAGGAAAGGAGCTGCAAGAGCAGCTGCGGGCGGCTCTACTCCAGTGTGGATTCCCATTCACAAGTGCTGGGAGGAAATTATCTCAGATGTTGGGAACCTAATGAGCATGCACTGCAAGCGCAGTCACGTAAGAAAGCATTATATAATGCTTTCCTATGGGGCTTGGGGGGACACTGGATATGCTTATACTTGTGAGTACATCCAGCATCAGGCGACCAAAAGTCACCTAATGATCCGGAAGTCCCTCTAGGGACAGCCACTAGAGGTGGAGTTAACCCAGGAGAGTAATAATTGCAGTTATTCAATAACTGCAATAATCACTATTACAGTGTTAAAGGGAAACTCCAGTGCTAGGAAAACAATCTGTTTTCCTGGCACTGCAGGTTCCCTCTCCCACCCCCCAATCCCCGGTTGCTGAAGGGGTGAAAACCCCTTCAGTAACTTACCTGAGGCAGCGACGATGTCCCACGTTGCTACTTCTCCCTCTGCGCCGCTCCTCCTTCTGACTGCGTCGGCTGGTGGGCGAGACTGATCCCGCCCACTGGCCGGAGAGACCTAATGCGCGTTAGCGCTCCCCATAAGGAAGCATTGAAAATGCATTTCAATGCTTTCCTATGGGGAAATGAGCGACGCTGGAGGTCCTCACACAGCGTGAAGACATTCAGCGACGCTCTAGCACAGGTTCCCTGTGCTAGGAACCAGGAAGTGCCCTCTAGTGGGTGTGTAGTAGACAGCCACTAGAGGTGGAGTTAAGCCTGCAAGGTAATTATTGCAGTTTATAAAAAACTGCAATAATTACACTTGCAGGGCTAAGAGTAGTGGGAGTTGGCACCCAGACCACTCCAAAGGACAGAAGTGAACTGGGTGCCTGGAGTGTCCCTTTAAAGGATCACTATAGTGTCAGGAAAACAAGCTAGTTTTCCTGGCACTGTATAATCCTTAGGTCCCCCGCTCCTTCGGCACTGGTGAACTCTCCTCCCCCTCCGACATCAGCTCCCGAATGGAGCTAAATGCACATGCGCGGCCAGAGCCGGGCGCACATTAAAAAACACCCATAGGAAAGCATTTCTTAATGCTTTCCTATGGACGTTCTGCGTGCTCAATGCGATTTTCGCATTGAGCGTCGGGGAAGCACCTCTAGCGGCTGTCAGGAAGACAGCCACTAGTGGCTGGATTAACAATGCAATGTAAACATAGCAGTTTCTCTGAAACTGCTAAGTTTACAGTTGCAGGGTTAAAACCTGGGGAACCTGGAACCCAGACCACTTGATTGAGCTAAAGTGGTCTGAGTGACTATAGTGGTCCTTTAAATTTTTCATTTTCATGATATGCATCAGAATGTATATATGAAGCAGCGTTTTTTCAGTAAACGGTTTCTGTATTTCTGGTCCAATGTAGGACCTCGAAGAAAGAATAAAAATGAAGAGAGCACCCCTCATCCTCTATCAATGAGGATATGTATAACGGACACCTTTTTTGATCATTAAACCATCACTTTTTAGTAATCAGAAATTTTCAGGAATTTCAAATTTGGCCCAAACTTTGAATTTCAGACAATTTACACTCAAGTCTAGGGGTATGCAACAGAAGGAGGAATATTAAATGTGATTATCTTTTTTAAAGTATTGTTTTGCATGGTTTCAATACAAAATTTGTTTAATAATTAAACAGGAATGGTTCAAATCCAGCTGGCAGCATCTTTCTAATGCAAACCTTTATTCTCAAATTTTGACTTTTCATTTACTACATGGTTTGGCAGATGTGCAGGAAATGCAGTACATGGTTATGCATTGTCTGCAACAAAAATACATAAAAATCAGATAACTGTTCTACCTTGACACAATTGTAACACTAGTAATATTTGAGTTTTGAAATATAAACACTGTCATACGTTCCCTACTTTTCTCAGGAAGAACTTTTTAAATGTTAATTGTTTGAGGAAGCGAGCCAGTATTTGCCCATTATCTCCTATTTGTTTGACAATTGCACACTTCTTTTCAGATGATGCATTAAAAGATAGGTTATAACCTGTTAGTTTATCGTAAGATAATATCAAAGGCCCTTAAAGCATCGTAACCACTATAACCCAGTGGTGATGTTATGACGCCAAGAATAGCCTGGCTCCAATGGTTTGCCCTCTTACCTGATTCTCTGCTGGGCATCACAGTTTCTCTGTTGCCAATGGCATGTAACCATCTTGTGCAGAAGCTGGATGCAGATCCTGCCGCCCATTATTTGACCGAGAGTCAGCTGTTCACAGCCAATGATTGGCAACAAAAATTACCTGACACTTGAAGTGGAGTTGCACCTTCAGCAGCAAAGGGTTAAACTCTGTACGTGCATAACTTTCATAGTGAGATGCTTTACAGACAGACTCCAGGCACCATTACCACTTGAAATCACTAAAGTGGTAATGGTTTTTGGAATAACCCTTTAAATTTGTTCAAAAAAGTATGCCAACATGTAAAGCGAGTAAAGAGAGATTTGTTTGCCAGCTGAAGTTTTGCGAGTCAGCTACAACACTGGAATGTGTTTATTTTTTATGTTTGGGGAGTACAACCCAACTCCCTTGCCTTTGCACCCCTCCCTGTCACAGGTGCCTTATTTTAGGGTTCTGATTAGCCTCACACTGCAAAAGAGCATGGATTTCCCAAGTAAGTTGGTTACTATCATAAAAGCATGCATTTGGTTTCTAGACTAGGACTTGCCAACTTTGGGTGTATTTATGTTGTGATCGATTTATACAATGCATGACCTAAATCTCTATTATTTTTGCCTGTCAGCTGTTTTAATTTTTTTTTTTTTTTAATTATGTTTTGTAACTTTGAAGTTGGTGTTTAGTGAATAAGTGTGCCAGATCTTGTATCTTACATATAAAACAAACTGCAACATATAATGAAAAATATACAGCACATTTAGTACAAATAAATAAAAAAATTAACTTATAAATAAAAGTTAACAAATAATAAAAAAAATCAAGCACATTGGTAGTCTGTTCCTAACAGAGTTTTTAATTGAATGGTTATCCAGTAAAGTTAGGGAAGAAACTTAAGAATAACACACAAAATAAAGTGGCATGTTGTCAATGTTGTAAATTGGTGTTGAATGGAAAAATATTACAAATATACAAGTGAACACTATGGGGTGTCTTTAAAGAGCAATCTGAGGTTAGTAATCTAGAGAAGTGGACTAATCACTATGGAAACAAAAGGAATACTCCTGTTAATTACATTACAAACAAGGCTATTCACTATAATGTGATCTCCAGGAACTCAAAGTGAATTTCAAAAGTTAACACTTCATCTAAAGATGACTTTCAAAGAACATAGAGAGATGGATAAATAGTTCTTAACAAGACATAAGTACGTTGTACAAATTGTGAAATAAAATAGTATGTGGTTTGTCATTCACATCTATGAGCCATAACTATATGTTGTTACAATTAAATAACCTATACTTTTCTATAAACCTCTGCCCAGATGCTGCAAAGCGTTTTGTCAAAAGAGTAGAGTCACTATATTGTGGTTTTGTGGTTTCAGAAAGACCTGTTTCACACCACATAAGTTCATGGTCTGCTTGCAAGATAAACTTCAAATGGAGTGTCTGCCAATATATTGGACAACCTTGAGGTAATGTGTCACAGGTAATTCAAATGCTTATAGTGTAGGAAAAAAATACAACATGCAAGATATGTTCTATCAATATTGGTAAGATTTGCTATGAAAACATTTAGAAGTGTCTTTGCTCTGTCTTTTTTTTTTTTTAATGTTTAACATATTCAAGGAACTTTAAAAAAAAAAAAAAAGTAATTTTAAAATTTGAATGCTATTTGTTGGGGAACAAAATGCAAAGTGGACATCTACCTACATTTCAGGCCTTTATAAATAAACCAAAAACAAACCCACACATTTATTGGTATTTGATAGGTGTATATGACTTACTTGCTTGTAATGTATTGTTTAATTCTGTGAGTATGGTGAGTGCATGCAGAGATCAGATAAAGGTAAAGGAGGGTCTAAGGTTAGAGAGGATTAGAGGTTAGAGAGGGTTTAACATCTGAGTTAAATTACATAGGTGGTTGAGAGGATTTATAAAGGGGTTACATTTAGTATCGGGGTACATAGGGTGTTTTGTTTAGGTTTTTGGAGGGGTTAAATTTAAGATAAGGGAAAAAGTGTTTAGGATATGATAAGTTTGAAAGGTTATTTGCAAAATACTCACTGACTTCCTGAAGTCATGTCAGGCTCCTGTGATTGATAACAGAGATGCAGGAGCTGTAGTATTTCCTGTGTGAGAAGCTGTTACTGGGCTTAGGGGAAAAGATCCCTTACACTTCTTGTCAATACTCACACACAGACACTGGAGGAGCTGGGGCAGTCCTGCATTTTACACTCTTTATAACTGCTCCTGCAGTTCTGCTCTGAAGCATAGGAAGTTGACTGGAGTATAAGGAACATTGGCCGTGTTAGCTTGTACTTATCTCTCCCTATCGGTCCACTTGAGCACATTAGAAGTCATGAAAACAGGACAGGTGCCTAATGTGAAATTCAGAACACCATAATGGAATATTGAGTTAGATGGTATGCACTAAACTAAAAATGACTCTGATTTAACCAGGGAATTACAACTTTGTGATGAAACAATTGGATCCAGTTAGATGATGGCAGAATTGTGCTGCTCTTATTGGGGTATATTCTTCCACTGGTGTGAATTCACCCACTAGCGCACATAGTAGGGGAATGAGACAGGGTAGCCCATACTATACATACATCCTCAGTTATGTTGGTAGCAACTGTTGCAGCATGCAGACCTTTGCAATACTTTTAAGTTACTGGAGTGAGGGATAAGAGATGATGTGCATGGGCAAAAAATTCAGTTCGGCACTTCCAAATTTGGGACTTCGGCGGTTCGGTTCAGCACTTCCGAAATTCGGGACTTCGGCAATTCCCTAAACCTACTCCTACCCCTAACCCTGAACTATGGTTAGGGTTACGGTGTGGGGTTAGGGGTAGGGTTAGATTCCTGTCATCATTCCCTTCATTTCCCCTCCCTCTCCTGTTTTGCCACTTTTCAGAAATGCAAAGCAATTCGGAAATTCGGTTCGGGACTTCGGCACTTCATCCAAATTTAAATTCGGACCAAAACGAATTGCACATGTCTAAGAGATGTCATTATTATTTTTAAGTGTTTCACTGAGAAAAGTGGTGCATTTATCACATTAGTGTCTATGATTATGCATAAATAGATTTCTGTATGCAATCTGCAGCAATGTAGAAAAAGTGCAAAAGTCATTACCTCAATTTATTTTACCAGGCATATTCCTTGCAGTTCATCTGTCCACAAATACGTCCTAAGGCTAGCTTAACCCTGAACACACAAACCAAGACAGGACAGAATCATGTACTGGTCCGTAGAGAGAATGTCTGCTTGCAGATAAAGAATAACTGTAAGACACGCCAAGATCAAAGGAATACAGAAAGTCACAATGGTGAGATGAAGTGGTCTGGGTACCTATAGTGTAACTTTTAATATCATGGTAGGACTGCTAAGGTTCCCATGTATTTTATACATCCAAAGCTAATATCCAGTAATTCAAAAATTTCCTCAAATCATGGTTAGATGACATAGTGGAGCTCCCTGTACCCCTGCTGGGTACCTCCGCCAAGGATCGCTTTCTAGCAGGAACCAAGGAAAACCTCAGCACTTATGCCCCAGTCGCCATGGCTTGACTGGGGTCCTCCTCGAGCCTCTCTTCATACTGGAACAGAATAGGGCACTAGCTCTATTCCCTCCCAGGGACTGGACGACACGCAGTCCTGGGAGCTATAGTCCCTACGAGGACTTTCCCCGCCGAATCCTCCACAAGCTGGAACAAGGTGCTGAGCAATGATTAGCCATTTCCCCTCCCAGTAACTAGACGACATATAGTTCTTGGAGTACAACTGATTTTAATGAGCCAAACTCTGCCTTTTATGCACAGACTACAGCATAGGGTTGACTATCTCTGGGCCTGGTAGATAATTGAGTTAAAGACCGGTAAGCTAATTATCTACCAGGAACCAAACACAAAAATATAAAAGTACCCCAAAACATAATAAAAACATACAATAACTCCACAAATAATACATCCCCCAAATCTCTGTGCGCCTCTGTTCTCCAAATAGAGATTAGATCCATGCAGTGAAGGGTAAACGGCACAATGTTAAAGTTCCGACTGGCCGCACACGTGGTCCTATGCCCAAAATCGTTTACGGACGTTTGGTGCTTTTGCAGGTCAACTTTCAGGCGCTCCTGCGGCCGTAATATGGGGTGCTCCACCTGGCTCTCTGGGAACATTTGTTCCCGTTAGTCTGTCACCTTACCTCCAAGAAGAGCTCTCCTGGTTGCAAAATGGTTCAAAACCCCTGACCAAATTGTCCGGGAACTGCACGGTCACCTTATGCCAAACACTGTTCCATCAATGTATTCATATTTTAGAAATGCTCTATCTCACTGGGTGAATCCATATGAGACTCGTCAGCCAGTCCGCTTTACACAGGACAGGCAAATCACAAATGCGCAAATTTTTCTCCTCTATCACTATTAAATGCAGATACCAAACTATATGCAAAGCTTTTACCCTATGCCCCCTTTTGCAAGAGTTGGTGTTGGCAGAGCAGGCTGGATTTGTCCCTGATTACCAGGTAGTTGACAATAGCAGGCACTAATGGCTAACTCCTCGTCTCCTCCCATACTAAAGGTTTTCCGCTTTAGATGCTGAAAGGGCATTATATTGCCTAATTAAATAATATGAAAGCCATCTTGGTTAAATGTGGTTTCCCCTTCCCTTTTTGACAAAGTATCATGGCCTTATATTCTCATACTTATGCCAAGATTATGAACACTGGCTTTATCTCTCTACTAGTATTCATACTATTGGGACCCATCAAGTTTGCCCTCCTCATGCGGGCCCTTTATGAGCCAGCAGTGAGATCAAACGTTCCTTCACTTCCCAGAGGGGATATTGTGATCTGTTCTCCCAAATTAATTGCAACCTTGCACTCCCCATCTCTTCTTGATGGCTCAGAGCGCTGGAACTGTGAGGGCACTCTTCAAGTGATCTGTACCCAGTATTGTTGCAGATAAGAATCTCCCCCCTGGTCCACCAGTGAGCCAGCTTAATATTCCACTGGACCGTCAGAGAATGTAAACAAAAACTATGCACAGACATATCAGGCTCCCCCTCCTATACACAAGATAAAAACCCTGCGCAAAAAATCTTCAGTGCACCATTTTCTCTCTCACAGCAACAGTCTCTGTGCTGCAGTCTGGCCCCTGTTGCTGAGATAATCAGTGAAGACTGATTATCTCAGCCATTACAATGTTTTCCCATAGGTTAGCATTGGTAGGTTAGTGTGCATCCTCGACAAAATGCAGCACTGGACAATCAGATGGTCTCTATGAGAGGCATTTAAACCCTGCAATGTAAAAATTGGCATCTCTGCAGAACAACAATGATTTACATTGCAGAGTTAACCAGAACAGGAAATGTAACCCAGATCTCTTCATTGGAATGGAGTCATTCATGAGGACATCCAGTGTCAGTTAAATCCCCATAGGAAATAATTGATTCAGTTCTTTCTATGAAGAGGGCCTAATGCTTTCACGACGCCTGCCTCACCTGTGATCTTTGTGTGTTGTGTTTATGGTGAGTTTGTGTTTTAGGTGTTCAGGGAGTGACTGCAATTGGTTAAGTAGGTGAGTGACAGTGGCAAGTGTGACAGGATGAAGGTAGTGAGTGTAACAAGGTTTGGGGAGGTAGGTCTGTCAGTGTGATTGTGGCAGCTTTAGGATGGGTAAACTTGATAGTTGGGGGTGGGATCAGTGTGACAGTTGGGGGCTGAGTGAAAGGTTGAGAGGTGAGTGTGGCAAGTTGAGTGAGGGGTGACGTATATGGGGGCTGAGTGTGTGGGCGAGTGACAGTGTGTAGTGTTAACCACAGTCTCCCCACACAGTAATGTATTTTATCTTATTCTAATTACATTTGCTTACCTCTTATGCAGGAATGGGGGCAATAATACATCTCATTTTGGCGATCCAGTGGGCTACTGGTGCAGCTGCATGCCTTCTGGTCCAGCACTTTGTGAGGTCTTTCAGAGTGCAGGCTGGGAAATCCAGCACCTGGGAAATGACAGAGTCCCGGAACTGCAAAGGACTGCATGGATAGATTATGGACCACCAGGAAAACATTTCAATAGAGCCAACAGGGAGATATTTTGATATTTGACTTGTCCTGTGTTTGAGCCAGGGCTCTAGGTGGCCATCTTGGTGGTCTTATGGGTAATCCGACTCCGCTCACAACAATGTATGTGTATACAGTATTAATAAAGTGTAAGAGCATATAATAAACAGTAGTAACCATTGAATGCATACACAAGATGTAAACAAAGCATATGTAATATGTGCCTCTTATGTTAACCTAACTGAATCCTAATCGAAATGGGTAGACCAATTGAGTGGTTGGCTGCCTCCTGCCAATGGGATGTATGGTTGTGGCCATTTCCTAACTGCAATGATGTTCTAACGGGATCATTTTTATCACACCAGGACGGGGAGAAAATACCAATTGTATGATAATTGCAACTGCGATCTCGACAGTCTCACATTTACACATGCGCAATAGAGTGCAGAGTAGCATGGGTACTGTATGCTCCTGATAGGTTTGTTGTGTATTACAATTTTTGCAATTGTTGTGTGTGTGTGTGTGGACAAGGAAGCGCAGAGCAATATGGGGATTGTAGGTGCTTAGAAAGTCTGTACATTTAGTTTATATCCTTCTTCCTTCTATATCATATACTTATATGTTATATAATTGGGAAACTCTGGACATATTGATTTTGTTATACTTTTTGTATTCATCTTATATGGATTTCCATGAGCGAGCATGTGATGTGACATCACATGGGGGCAGATTTGGAAATCTTACGGTTGGCTATCACAGTTTACATGCCAGCCCCATGAGAAAGGCTTTATGCCATAATGTTGCACATGTCTTTGCTTTCAAATTCAGATTAGTGAATAACCACCTGAATGTATTCCAACATGGTCTGAGATGAAAACTTGATTTGGCATAAATGGGCAGATTTAATAGTCTCTAGAAATGGGCAGGTTTTTGTAGTGGAATGGCCTTCACCCTGGCCTCTTGTACACCCAACACCTCTCTTGCAGGACCAGATTAAGAGCCCAGTGGGCCTGGTGCTGACAATTATGATGGGCCTATTTACAGAATCTGATTGACCAAAAACACTAAAACAATCATACCTCCCAAGCATCATGTATCTGATGGAGATGGTGTTGGAGGGAAACTCAAAGGATGCAGCTATACGAAAACACATACTCAATTCTAATCTCTCTCTCTAATTTATGCTTTCATCTTTCAGGCTAATCCATATCCCCTAACAGCAGTGTCCAGTGAAGC